GAAGATCAAAGAAGAAGGGAAGGGAGGAATGTGAGTTTTTGAGTGGAATTTTTAGTTTTTAGCAAGGTAGCAGAGATTATTGAGGAAGAGGGGAGGTAGCTTAGGCAAGCTAGCTGAGAGAACTTGGGAACTCTCAAAGTGTCTCTGCTGGCTTGCCCTTGTTCTCAAATGATCTTTGCTAGCTTGCCCGCTTCCTAAAGAATCGCTGCAAGCCCTTTCCAAATTTCTAGAGCACCTTTGCTAGTTTGCATTCGTCTTAAATTGCCTCTGCTAGCCTGCATGCTTTTTCTTAAACAATCCGTGGTGGAAATTCCGAAATAATCTCTGCTAGCCTACCATGAATTCCTAAAGCATCAGTGCTAGCATCCGAAATTCGTAAACGATTTGTGCTACGCCCGTGATTCCTAAATGAACTTTGCTAGCTGGCCCCGATTCGTAGGTTCGCTCTGCCAGTTTGCCTGAAATTGCCTTTCCTACATTTGAGGAAATTCCTAAACGACCTTTGCTAGGCTACCCTAGATGCAGAAATTTTTCGCTAATGTGCTCAGGTTTTTCCAAGCATCTCTGCTAGTCGCGAAAATTCCATAATTGTCACTGCTAGCTTGCCAGGATCAGCTGTTTTACTTTCCAATCCCTTGAAAAAACAGGATGTTTTCCAAAAACGCGCCCCATCTACCGTACCCCTTCCCCTCCCCTTCCACACTAGCCGTTGTGGACAATAAATCGCAGCTGTATTCCCTTTCCTTCCCCCCTTCCGCCTCACCGTCATCAAATGCTGCCATAAACTTGGTCCCTTCCCCCTTCGCGGAGCCCTAGTCTGCCCCGCCTTTCGCCACATTCCATTTCAATACTATATACAACGCTTTTACTACAGTATTTAAGCGGAACTACTGCAGATATCCATTACATGGCATAATCGATTGCCAGTAACGTTAATAAATGTATAAATAGCGTAATCGAATAGCTATTACATGGCATAATTGGTTAGACTTTGATGGCGTAATCTGCTTCCGCCACTCGATTTCCATCGATATAAAACAATCGATTGGGTAAAAATTTGGATTTAGAATGCCGAAATTACAGTATTCCACCCAAAAATAAAAAGCGTAATCGATGCGTTTTTCATGCCGTAATAGACTATACCTAACTGCGTTACGTTAACTACCGTAATTGGTTATTTCCATAACCTCCAGCCGCCCATTTTCCACCCAATTACCACCCCATTCGCCCCTCCTTCAGGGGGTCGTCCAGATGTTGTTCCGCGTACTCCAAGACTTCGGCTATCGATTTTTGTAGTCTGGAGTCTGGCGTTAATTTTTTAGCTCTGAAAATGATCTTTGCTAGTATGCCCTGAAAATCTCGCTTTTTTTCAGCCCTTCCCGCTCGTCCACCGCCCCACGATGGCACCGCAGAGGCCGAAATGGTGGGTATTTACGGAGCGTAATCGATTGTTTATTAAATGGTGTAATGGGAGGTGTTAAGTAGCGTAATTTGTTGGGTTATACATAGCGTAAAAAGCTCGACATTACATAGCGTAATCGATTGTTCATTGAATGGCCGAATTGGATTAAATAGCGGCTAATCGCTTACGTAAGGTATTCTTTTTCATACGTTATTTAATGAATAATTGGTTACGATATTTCACGCCTAGCCGTTTTTTATTTTTAACGGGTGATCGATTACGCTCTTAAGCATAATTTTAATCATTTAAATCAAAAAATACCGAAATCCATCTTTTATGACCTAATATATCTTTTATTTGTATATTTTTAATACCAGGCTACCGTGCTCCAAAAAAGCGCAATTTTCCAATGTTTTTGCGGTATTTTTTTCTGTAATTTCCTATGTGATGGGCCAAGCGTTTTGAGGCGTCAAATGCCCTGGGGGCATGCTTTGGAAAAGCGGAATCAGGCGACAACTGAAACGTCGAAAATCCCGGCAGAAACAGCTGACTAAAAGGAGAGAGAGAGCGAGCCAGAGAGAGAGAGAGATGGAGGGAGAGAGGGAGAGAGAGTGAGAGAGAGTGAGAGGGAGAAAGCGCGAGAGAGAGCGAGACAGACAGACATAAATGCCCTCCGAGACCTCGCCATTTCCACTCGTTTTTCACGTAGTGTGATATCCCAACCAACACACTCCACACCAATCTCCCCCTTACACACTTTTCACGTACGAATTTTCTTGATATACCCTCATTGCTTGCCTATTTGATTTGTCCATCCCGTCAATGCTCTCTGCTAGCTTGCCTGGTTGAATTTTTGGGTAAATCATGACGATTTGCATTGAAAATTTTCGCCGCGTAACTTTGTAGTCTGTAGTCCGAGTTATCTAATATTTTCAGCACATATTCCGATGCTCAATACCTAGCTGCTCTCAAATTTTGATACAAAAATCTGGTCAAACGAAAAATTATCGTTTAAAAACTGAAAAAAAACCGGATTTTTGGATTTTTTGGCGTTTTTAAATTTGAAATTATATTAAATTGTTTTTTACCCGATTTTAGTATGGTATGCAAATATTTTTCTTGCGATATTGGACTAGAATCTATCTACCTAAACCCCGTTGGTGGCCCTTTGTTTTCGACAATACTTTTACCTGCCACCCCCGAGGGGCCAACGATCCCCCCAGATCAGCACCTGCTCTCGAAAAAACCAGCTAAAAAGAAGCGAGAGAGAGAGAGAGAGAGAGAGAGAGAGAGAGAATGGATCATGGGTCGAGCTGGGTCCCACTCCTTCTCATTGTGTGGATGGGGGGATGTGTAAAGCCCTTTTCACTCCATGGTCTCTCTGTCTCTCTCTCTCTCTTTCTGTCTCTCTCGCTCTCTCACTCTCTCACTCTCTCTCTCTCCCTCTATGCAGAGCTGTTTTCTTTACTTACTGGAAATCGAAAGCTTGAATCATTGGCTTTTGAAGTTTATCTATAAAATTTAGACTTCCTAAAAATCCCTAAGGATCGCTGCTAGCTTGCCCTTGGCACCTGGGCCACTTTCAGGTCCTAAAGGTCCTTCTCAGTCCCTCTGAAGTGGCCTGAAATGGCAAATTATCTTTGCAAGCTTGCCTCTAACGCGTTGATCGATTTACTGGCTTTTAAGAATCGTTGCTAGCTTGCCGTAATTTTCCCTTTGAAAGTTTGAGCTTTGAAAACTTTACGGTATCTCAAAAACAGTAACGGTCAGGACGGTATGGATGGGAGAATCTCAGCGCGGAAAGTTGGTCGAGAAATTTTGTAGTTGCTTCAGAAAGTTAGCTTCTGTGACCCCTATGAATCTCTGCTAGCTTGCCCTCATCATCGTTAGCTCTACGCTAGACATAATTAGGCATATCTCGAAAATCACAGATTTATGAAAGAATAGCTAGCAGATTCGGAAACAGCGCAAAAAGTTGATTTAGAATTTTTCTAGCCGGTGTTTTTCCCACGCGCTTAAAACAGCTATATCTTGAAGACTATATCAGTTGTGATGTTATGGATACCAAATTCGGAATCAGCTCCAAAAATTGGTGCAGAATTTTTGTAGTTTGTATTTTTGTCCTCTCTTTTAACGTCGATTCCGTAACATTCCACTTGACACCCCCAATTCCAGCCCTCCCTCCCACCGTAGTGGCCTCTCCTCCAGGCCCTTCTGGGCCACCAGCCCTTCGCCAGGGTGTGTCCGTGGTCGAGCCAGGGCGTGTCCGCCTAGTCCTCCGCCACGGTGTCATCTCCCGACTGCTCGGGGCTGGAGAACGAACGACACCTATTTACGAGACAGATTCCGACAACAACTCGGATTCTGACGGCGACGCGCCATGGACAGCCCCGGCTCCTGTCGTCCGGTTTTTCGGACCGAAATCGGGGGATCCAGCGGTGAATCGGGCTCGGTACCAGACGCACCATCCGAATGCTACGTATAAATTGAGTTGTGAGGTGGTGGAAGGGCAAAGGTATCAGAAGTCATTAAGTACGCACCATGCAGATACCTTAGAGCCTCAAAGGTATCCTAATACCTCAGCTACGCACCATCCAAATGACACCTATAAGTTAAGGCCGACTCAAAGGTATCAGCAGCCATTAACTAAGCACCAAGCGGAAGTGGCGGAACCTCAAAGGTATCAGATACCCTTAAGTACGCACCATGCCGATCCGGTGGAACCTCAAAGGCATCTGAATACCTCAGCTACGCTCCATCCAAATTCTACCTATAAACTACAAAAGACAGCAGCCAGCACCGCGGAATCAACCTCTAAAAAATACCCCGAAAAAACTACCATCATCACCACACCGAAAAAACCGTGGCGCCAAGGTACCTTGATCTCGCGGATCAAGTCCACCCTCGAATTCCGGGCCTCCGGAAGGAACCTACAGATTGAAGAGCACAAGGAGGAGCCTACCGTCCTGACATTACCCACCCAACCTGAAAAACCCATCGAAAAGGAGAAAAAACCTTCTAAAATCTCCTCCTTCTTTAACCGGATGCTCCGAAAAACCCCCCGGGGCGCCAAAGAGGAAAAGCCACAACCGCCAGTACACTGCAATGCTGATGACAGGGTGAAGCACGGGTTCGCGCTTCAGAAACCGACGGTGGTCGCCGAGTTGGACTCGAAATTACAGACCAAGAGAGTTGAATCTACAACTGCAACCTCCCCGCCACGTCAAGCCCTTCAGAAACCGGTTGTGGAGCCAAAATCTGGCTCCCCAAAAACCCTGGTAAAAGTGGAGAGACGTGAAAATGGCAGGTTTACGGTACCCGAGCTGAAGAGGGTCACCTCTCCTATATTGCCGCATTATGGATGGAATCTAGATCAGAAGAAGGAGGAGAAAAATGAGGCTCAAAATCGGCCCCTTGGGGTGGTACGTCCGTTTTCTAGGACCGGAAATCCGGCGGATCGAAGCCTGGCCATAGGACCGATGCCTGCTGGAACTCCGGAAAATCGTGTCGAAACAGTTGGACCGAGCGCGAGGAGACTGTCGAGAGGAAGGACGAACATTCTGGAAGATTTAGGAGGACGCTCGCACCATGTCGAGGCAGTTGAGCAGCTCGTCGAGATTGAGAGGTTGAACTCCCTGAAGACGTCTGTCGGGGAGCCTGCCCCGCCGCATCAGGCAGTAGATGCTCCGACGCAGCCGGCAGAAAAACCCGTCAGCCCGAACAGCTCGAACTTGACGCCAAAAGGTGGTGCTGCTCAACTTATACAAGGCGCGACGCCCCATGTCGGTTTGAACAGCTCCAACTTGTTGCGAAAAAGTGGAGATGCAGAACAACACCATCAAGGTGTCTCCCAGACGCACCAAGTCGAAAAGCCGGTCAACCCGAACAAGCCGAACACGACGGCCAAATTCGCTCAACCAAACCCCGAAGTAGCAAAGCCACGCCCTCCAACCGAAGCCGAACAGCTCGAACGTCTTCACCGCCTCGAAGAGGAGCTCCGAGCCCAGCGTGAACGTCTCGACCTGCTCGCCGCGAAACCCCTGCTCCCTGAAAATCCACCAGCCGTCGTCACCGAGCGAAAAGTGCTCGTCAAATATTCGGACAGTCTCCATCGAGTTCGAAAGAACCCTCCTTGCCCACCCCCAAAACCCATTCCCGAACAACCAACACCATGGATTGTACGCCCAGCACCTCTTGACATCTCGCAATATGTACAGGAGAGAGTGGAGGGGGCAGAGAAGAGAGAGAAGACAGAGAAAGGGAGGAAGTCAGTCAAATATCCAAGGGATCTGCTGAACCCGGTGGTATCGGGGGAGAAGGAGAAGAACAAGGAGAAGCCGATGCCACTATGGAGACTGCAGAATATAAGGCGATTTGGAGAGGTATATGGGGCACTTTAAAGGGGGAGGAGGGACTGGTTCATTAGCGGGGGTACAACAGGTTACATTGCCTGGTAGGCCGACTGGACCCCTCGGTAATGCACCAGAACCGGAAATAGCTTTTTGAAAGTTCAAATTCAAATCAAAGGAAGAAGTTAAAATCGTAAATTCTTTCCTAGGGTTTAATTCAAGGGTACGGTAGCCTGGTAAATGAATAAAATGCTACAAAATTTCGTAAATTACTATCTTTTCAGTTCTAACCGATTTTTTCCAGACCAAAAGCCTGCCTGCCGAAAAATCGGGAAAAGCATCCGATGGCGAGCCGGCTTTTCACACGCCGCCCCCGGAACCGATTATCACAGGTAATTCGGCGGGTTAAAAAAGTGGAAGTGATCAATTTTACTCAGCGAACCACTTTAAGTATATCTTTAAAAATTTACCGATTTTGAACGGACCAGGAAGCGTAAAATTCGACCCCTTCCCCCGACTAGATCTAGACCACTACGAAAGCGCGCGATTTTGCAGGTGATGTGGTTGTCGAGACCTAGTTGAAAGCGGGGGTCGATTCTAGCGCTTTCGAGTTTCGTTAAAGCATACGTATTGAGGCTTAGCTTGGGTTTAGGCTTCGGCTTAGGTTTGGCTTCCCTCTAAAAACATGAATTCCAGTGGTCCCACCCACCCCAACTACCCCGAAAAAGATGCCACTCGACGCGGAGGTCAAGGATGAGAAGCTATTAAAGGTATATAATTTCCATCAAAAATCCTATGTATTTTTTTAGAATATTCGCGCCGAAAAGTTGGCCTCTCCTACGGTAAGTTCAGGCTTATTTCATTCCTATTAGCTTATTTTCGATTTTCTTTCGTAGCTAATTTACTTCTAAATTTTTTTCTATATTCTTTGCAAGGATACTGTAGCCTGCGTACGGTAGTTTTTCTATTGTACTACTATAGCGAATGAATAATATAGAAACATTTTTGTGATTAATTTTCTTCAGTGCATCCCGTGGGACTCATCCTTCGAATTGGAAGAAGTTTGTCTTTTTCTATCATTTTTTGCTTTTTTAAAGTTTTAAAGGGATGTTGAAGTGAAAAACTAATAAGAATCCTTGCGAGCTATACCAAATCATGATTCCGTCTTTTGGAGTGTCGCGTAGCTGTTACTCGATAAAAGCGTCGATTTTCGCGCTTCTTGGTTCCTTGAAAGGAACTAGAAGCTATAGATTGTTCTATAGATTTAGACATATAGATTAATGTCCCTTTAATACGCATGACACAATTTTTAACCAGTGCACGTTTGCTATCAAATTTCTAAAGTTTTATGTCAATTTTAGGCGTATTCCGATGCGAGCGTCATCGATGATGAGTCACAGTACTCGGCGGTTACACATTTCGTTCCAAAAGTAGGGTTTTATTCCACCGGAATCTCTTAGTAATCGATTACGACACGAAAAACGGTTACCGTGGATTTTTCTTGTTTTTAGAAAATCAAGCGCCCCCCAGTGCCGGGCGTCTGGGTGAAAGATGGGGTCGAGCTGATCAGCAAGAACAAGAGCTTCAGAAGGTATGTACTGTATTACAGTGTTTTAAAGCAGCCGTGGCACGTGGTAATAGCACAGTATCCCTTCAAATCCACTACAGTACGCTGCAGTACGTCACAGTACGCTAGAGTACGCTAAAATACTTGACAAATGCTACCAAACTTTACGGATCATTACGGGCTTACAACAGTACACTATTGTACGCCACACTACGCTACAATACGTTATAGTACGCTACATTACGCTCAATGAATTACAATATTCTACAGTACTCAGCGTATCCTTACGCAAATACAATAGTACACTACTGTACGCGACAGTACGCTGCAGTACGTTATAGTACGCGACAGTACACTATCTTACATTGCGACTACAGTACGCTACGGGTACGACAATGCTTTTTTCAGGGAAGACCAAGCCCATACGACAGTATCTGTGTGGAAGGGGAAACGCCGCGAGAGAGCCGCTTTATCAAAAAATTTCGAAGCCCCGGAAAAGAAAAAAGTGGTGGTAACGGAAAAGAAGAGAATGGTAGGCATTGTAGTTTGTACTCTGTAGCCTATTGTATTCCTTAGGTGCTGCGAAAGAAGAAACTCTCCACCATCGACCCGAAAGATGTGGAACGAGCGAGGAAAGAGCGCGAAATATCACCCGAAGGCAAGGCGAAAAAGGTATCGTTTTTGCATTAAATTCGGGAATTAAAATTTCTTGTAAATTTAATTAAAATTATTTTAAAGCCGTAAAATGGTGAAACAAAATTTTGTAAAAAATTCATTTAAAAATAAATTTTCAATTTCTTCGTAAATTTGATTTTTTATTGAATTTTTAATTACGTTTAAAAATGTAATAAATTTCTAGGAACCTGTGACGACTACCGTGACCGCGACACTCCAGCATAAACACTTCCAGAAAGCTACTGTAGTCCGGAAATTACCGTACACGGAAAGGTAATTTTTATTTTTTGCGGATTTTATACCTTAATTTTTATGTATTTTATTAAAGTTTGAATGAGGAAATTGGAAAATACAGTCTTGCCACTGTCAGGCTACCCAAAAAATTTTTGGGCCACCGGATTCTCGGCTCTCGATCGACCGTATCAAATTACGGTGCTTCTAGCGCCCTTTTTCCCTCTCTCTCTCTCTCTCTCTCTCTCTCTCTCTCTCTCTGTCTGTCTCTCTCTCTCTCTCTCTCTCGCTCTCTCGCGCTATAAAAATCCAGTTCCGCTCGATTTTACTGAATATTTGCACATACAAATATCCAGATCCCCGACCAGGTCGAGTCGTCCAACCCCGCCGATTCCAAATTTTTATGCCTTACAGCACTCTATGTATTTTTATTAAGATCTTTATTAGTCCGAAATCCCTTCAGGCAATCCATCTCTCACGCCCGCCCGTTCAAAGCCCGCCGGAAGGCCGTCCCGCTTGCCCTGGCCGCCGTCGACCGTGAATTCAAGCGAAAACCCGCCGAACTACGAGTGCAAAAGACGATGAGAAGCTATGGGTTGGTACTCGGGAGAACTTTCGTAATCATATGGTTTCTAAAACATATCTCTCAGCCGGCCTAGCGCCAAAAGTGCTCAGAAGTTTCTTATCTTGGGCTCTGTTCTGCTTTCCTAAGATTTTCTGGCCTTGGGCTTTGGAAATGGTTTAGAAAACCTGAATTTTATCCGTAATGCGATAAGATAAACCTACAATTATAATGACGTTTCTCTGGCCCAGAAAAACCGTAGAACCACCCCAGGCCCTTTGCTTACTCTGTGCCCCCGAAACGCGCGCCACCTGGCTCACCCCAGAGAGTGGGGGTATATAGGCCCCCCCTCGCTCCCGTCTTCTCAACTGACCGATGAATAGATGAAGTTTACCACACCTAACGCTTACATGTGGATATTATTATACATTTGCTGAGGTTATCGTTTTTAATTTTTCGTCGTGGTAGCCACAGTTTTTTTTTACTTCCTGATGCCCTTAAAGTAGCCGGAAAGCGTGTTTATATGAATTTTTAGGGGTAGATAACTCGGATTACATATAAAGGTTGTGGAAAAGTTTTAAAGAGTTTTTAGTGCCCAAAAATCCGGATAATTTACTTCCGGATACCTTTCAAAGCCGTATTTTTGCCCTAACTTTTTCGTAAACAACTTGAGAGGGGGGTGGCTTCTTCCAAGTGTTAGCGAGCCCAAACCGCAAAAAGATGATCAACAACGGACATCATCAGGTAAAGGGGGAACAGGCGGCCCCCATTTCCTCACCTACCATCCATCCGCTACCCTCCATTCCTATTGACACCCCCTGGAAAACACGGGGTTCGTAATGGAGCGCATCGATTCCTAATCGATACTAAATTCTAATTTATTCAACTTAAAATCTTTTTTCTTGAAAATGGCCGCCCAAATCGTGTCGGCGTTCAAGGCGATGCGCCGATTAACACGGTACGCTAGATTACGGTATTTTTAGGGGTTTAAAGAGAGTTCGAAGGAACTGGTAAATTTTTGCCTATAGATTCCTGGTATATTTTAGCGTGCGGCGAAAAGCAAAAATCCATCCTTTTCCATCCAAGTTAGGGGAGGCGCTACCATCGATTTTACCATCCAAATGGCCAATAATTATTGATAACTATATGCTGTATTTTTCTAGATATAAAAATCTCCCTTTTTCAGCCGCCAACAACAAAGCGGCTCGATAAAATGCCGTGCCCCAACAAGCCGCACGAGCGCCACCCAGCAGACAATCAGCAGAAATGATCAGTCCGGAGGGGCAAAGGTACACTATTACCGTACGATTGGCTATCAAAATGTTCAAATTCAGCACCTCGGCATTTTATTATGTCAAATTTTTGGAAATCTCGAGATTTAAAAACCCCTGCCATGCGCCAACCGTCGCTTTCAGGTGATTGTCGTGAGTGCACCGATCAAGGATGTGAACGTGTCGAGGGTCAGGCATCGCTGCAGGGCCACCAAGGAGAAAAAGCAGCGCAATTCAATGTGTGTAGTTTGTCGGATAGAGTTTATAGTTTGTAGCCGTACCCGAAAAAACTGGTTTTCGCCGGAAAAGATAGATTTCGTTAGTGTGTAGTCTGCCGTTTCGATCAGTTCGTAGTTTAGCGCCTGCCGTAAGGAGTTGTAGTTGTAGTCAATGGCTAATATAAGAAACGTATTTTTTAATATAACTTAGTTTATTTGTAGCTTGTAATTTTAGAACCTTTCAAATTTTGTAGCTTACAAGTTAGTACCCCACCTTTCCAGGCCCTGCTACACCTCCCTCGAGCATTCCGTCGATGGCTTCGAGGCGGAAAAACGGAAATTACGAGCGATGCAAGCCAATAATGGGGCCGACTCGGATACGGTAATCTTGGGACTCTTTTAGAAACTAGCCACCACGTTTTAGGACCTGCGCTCGGAGCGTGAGGGGTCCGTGGCGGCTGCGATTTTGGACGAGATGAGGGGCAAGGATTCGATTGTTGATTGGAGTAGTGAGGTATGCGGTCTCTCACACTCTCTCTCTCTCTCTCTCTCTCTCTCTCACTCTCTCTCGCTCGATCCAACCTCAAATTGAGCAATGGTGGGACGGGTTTAAAGGTGGCACTATCGAGCACCACCTGGGTCATTTCCGGGAATTGGCGAGAGAGAGAGAGAGAGCAAGAGAGATATGCAAATGAGTTCGAGCTCACTCAGCACTTGGTGCGGCTACACTAGCTTTCTCTCTCTCTCTCTCTCTCTCTCTCTCTCTCTCGACACTCACAACACTTTGCTGACCGATGGGTGGTAGAGACAGAGAGAGAGAGAGAGAGAGAGATAGAAAAGACAAGCAGAAAGGGCCAAAAGCTTTACAACCCGAGACGATTGGAGAGCGGGTCATCTTCCCCCTCTCTCTTGCTCCTTCTTTCCCCTTGGAGGAGCTTCACCATGCACTCTCACTAGCCCCATAAGCATAGTTTATCGCTTCATGGTTTAATTGTTCAATTGCTATACCAAATTCCTGACCTTAAGCCTCGAGTATTAATGCGCGTTTACTGTCGGCCGGAAATTGGCCAAAATTGTTAAGATTCCGGTAATATTTCAAAGCACCTTAACAATCTCGATTTTTAACGATACCTTTGTTCTGTGTTTCCCTGCTGCCTCACGTTTTTAATCGTCTCCTATTGCCCCAAAAAATTGTGCTTTTGGCCAGAAAAAATAATTTTTGCTGTTTTCGCAATTTTTTAGACTTTTGGCAGAAGGTCATCAGGGTTACGGTGCTTTAAAATAACCCAAAATGCGTTTGAAACCCTTTAAAACCAAAGTTTTGCTAGCTAATCCCGTTCAAACCGTGAATCCTATTTTCTGATATTTAGCAAAAATAAAAAAGTGTAATATTCCAACAGAAAATTCCGCTGGATCCGGATTTGCAGTAATTTACGTATTTCTGTTAAAATTTTCAGCGAAATTTGATGTGAGATAAATTCAAAATATCAAAACTACAGTTTCCGGCAAAAAAATAATTGCGATATTTTGCCATCTGCAGTAATCGACATTTTTTCAAGGCAAAGAGTGACTTATTTTCAACCGATATTCTACTAATGGTTTTTTTCTATATTATTCTCTAAACAATTCATTTAGAAGGGCGGCCCCTCGATCTTCCTCAACGACGGCCGAGAACCGCTGGTGTTGCCGGATCGATCGATACTCGAGGAATACGTCAATAGGTAAGTCGCGTAGTATTTTTTTAAGCAGCCTGTGCTCCAAAACCGTGTAGTTTTTGGACAGTCCAACCTCGGAGAGTTCGTCATCGGTTTGGGCTGCTGCCAAGAGCGCTACACATTACACCTGTTGACGGGAAGGGGGAAGGGGAGAGTAGCCGGAGGGCACATGAAGAGGATGAGGGAGGGAGGTCCTATTACCAGAACTGGCTGCAGACTGTCGACGGACTAGGTGTCACTATCCCTTTAGAAGAGAGAGAGAGAGAGAGAGAGAGAGAGAAAGGGCTAGCAGGGTGCATTTAGGAAAATCTAATTGTAATCTTCCCCGGGAGCCGGGCATGCTAGCAAAGTTTCTTTAGGAAGTTTTTTGAGCGAAGGATGCTAGCAGAGATTGTTTGGGAAAGCCTTTTGAGCGCAGGACAGCCTAGCAAAGATTATTTGGGAATCGGGAGACGGCTCAAACCCATGGGCAGACTTGTAGAAATTATTTAGGAAAATTGTCTGGTTCAGGCAAGCAGCGGAGACGATTTTGCGACGCGTGTTCCGGCTCAGGGCAAGCTAGCAAACATTCGTTAGGGCAGCCTAGCAGAGACCGTTTGGGAAATGCTGGCTGGTTGCAGGCCAATAAGCTCTATGCTAGCAGAGATTCCTGGGGAAGCTCGATTTTTCGGCTACTGGCAGGCTAACAGAGAAAGTTGGTGGCAAATTTCGTTCTTAAAAAAGGAATGGGAGGCTAGCAGAGACTCCTAAGGAGCCAAGAACGAAGAGAGAGACATCGAGAGAACGTGAGCGAGAGAGAGAGGGGGAGAGCGAGAGAGAGAGACAAGGGGAGAGAGAGCGAGAATGCGATAGAGCGCAAGAGCGAGTGAGAGAGAAGTGGAGCTGAGAAAGCCCGAGAGAGAGGGGAAGACCAAGAGAACAAGAGTAATAAGCCTCCAGAAACCGAAAAAAATGACGGTCGCCGAGAAAAAGACAGCTTGTATGATCCTTCCCCTCCTCCTGCTGCCCTGTCTTCTTTTTTTGTGTTTTTGAGGGATGGTCAGCCTCCTTCTCCTTTCCCATTCCCTCTAGCCATTCTATTGATTATTGACTATAGCAGCTCGAGATCTAATATATTTTGACACCGGATCGCTATGAAATTCTCTACATAGTCCAATGATGGTCCGCCTAGCCCCTTTCTCGAATTGTTTCCGGTTGCAAAATGTTGCCCCGGAAACACCGGAACCGGATACGGTATTTGAAATGTGAGTAGCTAGGTGGAATGGAATGTGGAAATGGAATGGAAAAATGGGGGTACTTATGCATTAGCAGGGGGAGGTTAATTTTTCCTATGAGCAAAAATTTCTGTTGATGTAATGAAGAGTATTTTAATTGTGCTTTTGAGTAACTTACCCATATTTTAAACAGAAAACAATCCAATCGAGGTAAAAAACTAGATGTTCGGAACTTTGATAAAAATCGGCATGTTTAGTCGCAAAAATCGATCTTTTTTGGTTTTTAACCATAATTTTTAAAGTTTTTACGTTTGGTACTTTTGGGAAATCGCTGAAAAGCACTTCGCCAATTTATATTTTAAACATAGGGTAGTAACAAAAAACTAGGTCCCCCGATAACGCAAAAGATCCCAATTTCGGAATCGACTTGATTTGCATTTATTTCAACGAAAATATTGCTTTTTAATGGTTAAAAATCGTGTAAAATTGCTTATTTTATAAATACAACAACAAAAATTTCCTACTTACTGTAGTTCTTACGAAACCTGGATTAACATTTTTTGAATTTGTGAGCTCTAGAAAGCTTTCAAAATCGGCGTAATTCAACCCGAAAAATGGGGGCGTTGGCAGGAAGTGGCGACAGTTGCTGCTACCTAGGGATTTGCCCCCGGAAAATGACTCAAAAAAGTTTGGTTCACCTCGAGATGTTTACCTCGTTCTAGCTATAATTATAATCATTATCAATAAATGCTAGTGAATCTGGCGCTACTCTGCTATATTCGAGCGCTGATCTGGTTGGCCGAGAGGATATTTATCAGGTTTTTCGCGGGTTTAAAGGGACCTTGAAGGCAAAGTCTTATATATTTTTGTGAAATTAAGGCTCCAACGTGCCTTTAAAGAGCTATAAAAACTGTTTTAGATTTTTGGAGGGGAACCCGAAGGCCAAATCCTATGAATTTCTTGAAATTGAGCCTTCAAGGTGCCTTTGAAAAACTTTTAAAGTCATAAACATCGGTTTTCTAGAGCTTTTAAACCCATTGAACACAGATTCATGCAAAATTATGACCTCGAAACCGATTTCTAGCTTTTTTAAAGGGCCCCTGAAGGCAAAGACTTATGGAAAGTCCCGAGACCAAGCCTTCAACACGCCTTTAAAAAGTGTAAATCGCCAGAAAAAATTGTGTGAGAATTACTACAGGATTATGGGGATTGAAATAAAAAGAAAAACTTCGACAAGCACGTAAGTACGTTATTTTTTTAGAAAACGCGGCCGACTCGAGCGCCTCCATTCCGAACCAATACGCGAGCACGACGAAAATCGGTAATTTTGATAGCTTCTCGTTTTAAGCGAATTTTTAGATCGGAGTGCGACTCGCCGTGCAATTCCACAGCCTCGGAGTTCATTCCCGCGTCGGCAGGTAAGGGTTACGGTAGAAGTAAAAATGCATTTTAGTGCGCGTCCACGAGCCATCGTCCCGTGGAGTGCCGGTGATCACGACTGCTCCACAGAAATCGAGGTATGGCAAGAGAGAGAGAGAGAGAGAGAGAGAGAGTGAGAGAGAGTAAGCGAGCGAGAGAGAGAGAGCGAGAGGGAGAGAGAGGGAGCGAGAGAGACAAAGCGAGAGAGAGATGGGAAGAGAGAGAGTGAGACAGAGAGAGTCAGAGAGCGATAGAGAGAGAGAAAGAGAGAGAGAGAGAGAGAGAGAGAGAGAGAGAGAGAGAGTAAGCGAGCGAGAGGGAGAGAGAGAGGGAGCGAGAGAGAGAAAGCGAGAGAGAGAAAGCGAGAGAGAGAGAGATGGGAAGAGAGAGAGTAAGACAGAGTCAGAGAGAGATAGAGAGAGAGAGGGAGAGGGACAGAGAGACAGAGAAGGATAGAGAGACGATTTCTATTTTTGTGCAGATCTCGTATGAGCAGTGGCGAGCCCCAAACCCCGACCACAATGCTCGACACCCAACAGCCACCCAACATCAACAATTTCAACTCGACCCCGCAGGCTTTTCTCAGGTGTCCACGGTTTTAAAGGGAGTATGACCCCTTTTTGCAGACAAGACCGACGCCCCAACCCTCGTCCAATCCTCTTCAACGCCCCGCAAACATTCGATGTACCCAAGACACCGTTCGAGGTATCCACCGTGCTGTTATTAATCACAAAAATTATTACTTTCAGTCGGCTCTCCAAAATCAGGCGAACCAAATTGCTCGTCGCGCATCGATTGCGTCGATTTCGAACTATTCGGATGTCGAGGTAAATTTAAATGATATGGGACTTTAAATGTAAAAGAATCTAGCTAGAGAAATGCGCATAAAAATTAGACCAGCATTTAAACCGCATTTTCTTCCGAAAATATGGCTTTTCTTGAATTTTTTCATTTTTAAGGGTACGGTAACCTGTTTCATTTTCGAAGGCTACGTGTGCGCAGAATTTTCTCCTCTAACAAATGCCATATAACTTCTTAAAAAATACAAACTACAAAAAATTGTAGGTAAAAGCAGCAGATTTTTCTAAAACTTTTTCATCACTTTGTTATTCTTTTAAGGGCGTGTGATGTTTGGATAAATTTTAGCGGAAATTCCGCCCAGGTATCTTTCGCTGTCTCTCTCTCTCTCTCTCTCTCTCTCTGCCCATATTTCGAGAGGATGCGCGGATCCGGCCTGGGTGGCTGGCTGGAGATAGTATTTGCACGTACACACAGACAAACACACGGACAATCATCATATATCCGCGTCCTCTCACTAGGGAGAGAGAGCAGAATCTCTAGTCTCTCTCTCTGTCTCTCTCTCTGTCTCTCTCTCACTCTCTCTCTCTCTCACCTCCTCACCCCCTGGTTGTCCCCAATAAAAAACGGGGGCTTCTTCTGTCTTTTTCTTCCCTTCTTTCCTATTATCTGTCACCCAATTACTCGATCAAAATGGCCATGAACTATTTGCCGCGCCGATTCGGGAATATACAGGTTAAAAACTGCAATTTTTAACGATTTAGGTCATTAAATTTTCCCATTAATTTTCCCCTTTCAGTGCCGTTCGGAGGCAGCCCCACTGCCGTCGAATACCTCAGCTGCAGCCCAATTCCACCGTCAAGGCAGTCAGGATGGGGCTTCGTCATCCATTTCTTCCTCTTTCACAGCTGCCCTTGCTGCCAATCAACCGACACGGCATGAGAGATACGCAGCGCATATCCCTGTTAATAGGTAATAATAGCAATACCATTTTAAATTTTCACTAAGTGACGAAGTATCGATTATTAATGGTGATGTGACAGCGAAGAATTGCCTAATTCACCACACGTTTAAATTAGCAGACAAAAATTTTCCTATATTTTTTATTGCAGAGGCGATGGCTCGGGTCGGCAAAGCGCCAACAGTGTCGATAGCCAGGCGAGGTGGGTCTTTAGGGATTCTTAGGGATTTTAGAATTTTTATTTGCATAAAATGGAATTTTATGGGGTTTTTGGGTTGCCGGTACCTTGAAAAAGACGGAAAAATTGAAGTATCAGGTTGCCTTTAAATTAGCTAGCCCGCGTTTTTGCCCTCGCACTTTCCTATCTCAGTATTTCTCTCTCTCTCTCTGCTCCTTCGCCATCTCTTTCTCGCTGTCTCTCTCACTCTGACGCTCATGCCTCTCCAGCTCTCGTCCCCCTCTCTCTCTCTCTCTCGCTCTCCCTCTCCCCCCCTCTCTCTCTCTCCCTCTCGTCTGGCTCCCCCTCACCCATGCTCTCTGTGTTGGACTGCCGATCTAGGGCAAATTTAGCTGTACAATTTCTAGTGGTTCAGAGTCATTCTTTCTCTTTTTCTTGGGCTCTCTCTCGGTTCTCTCTCTCTCTAGCTCTCACTCCTTGCCTGTAACAGTTCTAGCGGTTCAGACTCGTTTTCGGTCTCGTTCTCTCTCTCTCTCACTCTCTAGCTTCCATGATCGATCGATGTATTTTATTGATCGATAATCGATCCTGTCACACCCCCTTTAAAAGGCCCTCTCGTCCCAGCTGTCATTTGACCAATCCCCAGCCGATACTTGCCCCCTGGGTGTGTTTGTGTGAAGCCAATTCTCTCCTCACAAATAAGATGGGAAACACATTCTCGGGTGGCTAGGGAACAAGGAATAGAGAGAGAGAGAGAGAGAGAGAGAGAGAGAGAGAGAGAGAAAGTGAGTGAGATAGCATAGGCAGTGTGCCCCCTCGGGGTATTGCCACCTGACCCCATCCCCCCTTCACTACCAACCTTTTCACGCCTTTCTCGGGTCGTATTTTGGATCAAGGCGTCGATTCCACTAGGCTACCTGCTAGCTCTCCTTCACTCTCTTTTCCCACTTGATGTGGACAGAGCTATTCTGTGCTATTGCAATCCTCCTCTGGCTTCTCATCACCGTCACCAATCTTCAGTCAATGTTTTATGCTACAAGAATGTGCCACACTCTGCCACGGTATAATAACAGGGTTGGGAAGCGGAATTGGCCTCATCGGTCACTAGACCACGAAGTACGCACCATGCCAAAATACGCGTTTCCTTTGCTAGCCTTATCTCTCTCTAGCGCTATGTCTGTCTGTCTCTCTCACTTTGTGTGTGTGTGTGTGTGTGTCTCTATATCTTTCGCTCTCTCCCTCTCTCTCTCTGACTCTCTCTCGCTTGCTCTCTCTGATTTTCCATGCGTTGTCTATTGCGTCGCGTACTTGTCGAGACCCAGCCGGCCTAGCGGGTCGATTCTGACGCTTTTGAGCATTTTAAGGCGACCAAAATATTCAAAACAACAAAGCTAATTGAAAAATACCTTTTTAAAGGTACCGGCAACCCAAGAATTGTCAGATTAAATTGGCTCAAAAATAGATCTATTTTTGATAACTTACCTCGAATTTTAGTGGCGCCCTCGAGACGGCCAGCAAACAATTGGACCAGGTCATCGATCAGGTACATTTTACACCAATTTAAAGGGCCATTGAAGGCAAGCCGCCTCCTCGAATTTTATATCGTAATTGCTTCCAAAACTATATTTCCAGGCCCGCCATCGTCACCACCAACACCGCTCTCGTTTCAAGGAGGCCATCGACTACTTGGATCAGATATTCGAGGACCTGAAGAGAGAATGTGACACCGGCGCACAGCAGGCACAGGTTCCTTTTTTAATTCGTTTTAAAATTATTAATAGTTTTTTAGTGTTTTACAAAAAAATTGCAACTAATTTTCGGCATTTTCTTTCATTTCTGATCATTTTTAATGTTTGTTTTGCAGTCGGACGACGCGAACAACAACAGCAAATCGTTGGCCGATCCGGTGCCGCCGGCTCCGATTCCGATTGGCGATAATACTGGCACGCTGCCGAGTCATATACGGTAAGGTTTTTCGGGTTTTAAAGGGGCCAGGAAGCGCTCGATCGATATCCCTGCAAAAATACCCTAAGGGGTGAGCTTTAAAAAACGATTGCCAGCTGGCGAGACGATGGGGGGATTTGAACCAGATGGGGTTTTCACTCACTCACTCTCTCTCTCTCTCTCTCTCTCTCTCTCTCTCTCTCTCTTTCTCTCGCTTCCAGTACTTTTTACACTTAATTCCGTTTACGATTCTCGCTTCCACAGGTACTTTTCAGCCGAGATTTACGTTTTTAAGGGCCTTTCGCACGCTTCCAATGTTTGTCTAGACCCAGTTGGTCGAGACTCTGCCCTTAAGGTCCCTTTAAAAGGCCCCCGCCCTGTCATGATTTCTGTAGCATGGTGAAGCTGCATTTCCCGGAATTCTGCCAACCCCCAACAGGTGCCTTTGGAGAGAGAGAGAGAAAGAGAGAGAGAGAGAGAGAGAGAGAGAGAGAGAGAAAGAGAGAGTGAGAGAGTGAAAGAGAGAGAGAGAGAGAGAGCGAGAGAGAGCTATTGCATAACGAATGACATCCATTATCACCCCTCCCCCTTGACTGCCGACAAAAACGGCTAGACAAGTCTCGGCTCGCTGTGTAATCTGGATCGGCGCGTACTACACCCCTGGGGGAAGGAGGAGAGGGATATGGCTAAGGCATGAAACGACTGGTAGTAGACCACCGAGAAAAACAGAGAAAATGGTGTCACACCCCCTTTAAAACGGCTGTCAAGCCTCTAAAGGGCCTGGGAAGCCAATTTTAACAAGCAAATGGGTTGGAATTTGCTGCCACACTTCTTTTAAAGCGCCTCTAAATGCTCTAAAGGGCCGAGGAAGGCATTTTTACACTGAAAAATGACTGCAATTTGGTGCCACACTCCCTTTCAGCGGCTTTGAGGTGCTTAAAGCGGTCGGGAAGACATTTAGCAGAGATGGGTGTCCCAGCCCTTACAAAGCACACAAAAATCATCTTTATCGAAAAAAAACCGCGTAATTTTGATGTCGCACTTCATTAAAAGTCGATTTTAGGGGTTTAAAAGGGTCGGAATGGCATCGTTTCAAGTAAAACGCCTGAAACTAGGTGTCACACTCCCTTTAAAATCGTTAAAAGATGGCCCATTTCGCACCTTTAAGAGAGAGGCAACCAGGGATCTCTCTCTCTCTCTCTCTCTCTCTCTCTCTCTCCCTTCCCTTGAGGGCATGTGTCGAGATAGGAGCGGCTGTCTCCTCCACCCCAGGTGACTTCTCTACTGCCCTTTTTATCCCCCTCCACCCCTCAAAAATCCGCTGGGACGCCGGGCAATTATCGATCTATTCCGATTAAAAGATCTCACCAATCGGTCTATGCTATTTTCTGAGCTTCCGGAGACACTTGAGCTTTTTCTACCGCTGAATGGTCGTTATTCAAATCATTGGCAACGTGGCCAGGCCAAAGTTTGATTTTTTTTGTGAAGTTCTGGGCAGGCAAGCCGTGATTTTTGGGGAAATTTGGGTGATTTTCGGTCGAGAATCCAGCCGAAAACAGCTTGGAAATCGGAATTTAGGGCTAGAATCATCATACGTACTTTTCAGACGAATCCCAGCTGTCGTGCCCGATCCGGCGCCATCCAATTACGCCACCCAATCCCTGCCGAATCGCACGGCTCGCCATCGGCCACAACAGCAACATGTAGGTGGTGGAGTCTGTAGCCTGTAGTCTGTAGTTTGCAATTGTCTAAAAAAACAAAAACAGATATAGCTCATTTTTATTACGAACGGGTCACCGGAGTCTTTCATTTTTAAAGGGGCAAGGCAGGGAATTCCATGAAAATTTTTGGCTTTTTTTGCGCCCAGTGAGCGCGATTCCATCACGTAATCGGTTAGTCGCCCCGGCAGGCGCGTTGCGTGTCGCGACGCGGGGAAATCTACCCTGATCCGGCCAGTTTCTTAAAATGCAAATTCCGACGATTTTTAAATTGCACCCCGACTACCGTAACCCACCGGCATAAGGTCATTTTTAGTATTTAATTTGCATTCATTTAAATACGATAAAAAGGCAGTCCCATAAAATTTTTCATAAAATTGGAAAATTCCATGTGAATATTTGAGTTTTTCATTCCGATTTTAATACCGTAATCCAAAGTTCAATAAGTTTTGACAAATTTTCATTCCAGTATCGATTTTATCGATATCGATTTCACAGCTTTTAATTGCGGCTAAGAATCCAAATTCCGTTTTTTAAACCGTTAAGTGCCGTAGTGTGAAAGCTCCATTTTTTGGCCGTTCAAAATATTGTGAGTACGAGGGGCTGCTGTTTGCCCCCGGCCACCTGACACTCCAGCCCCTTAAATCCCGAATTTCGTGGGTCGGGATGGCCGTGCCAGGTTGTTCGCCCCGATCGATTTTTGTCGGCCACAACTTCGAGGCGTTCATTTTGTCTGTTCAATCGAACGTTGCTGATGCTCAAAAACTCTTGCTCAAACCCTCAGAAATCTTTTTTAAGGAATTGAATGCAAAATTCAGCCTGCTTTTCAGATCGCCTCCCCGGCAGAGCCAACTCGACGCATCCAAAAGCCAGTGGAGCGGCAGCCGAGTATCGAGGCTGAGGTAGAGGCGGTTTTACGCATTTTTAACCTCCAAAAAAATTGGAAAAAATAAATCGAATTTTCCTTCAGATTCCTGAGCCGATCGAGTTGCCGAAAAAGCAGGACAAACTGGATTTCACCCGGCGATGGCTGCACGACGATCTGTCGTCTTTTGGAATGGCCAGCCCGGCACCGCTGGTTATTGGACCCGAAATGGTGTGTCACACCCCCTTTAAACTGCTTGAAAACGGTGCTCATCTACTGCCAGGCCTCCTGGTTGCGCTAAACTCCTTGCAGACGGTGTCAATCTTCTTGCGCGCTCTCCTTTAAAATTATGAAAACCTCATCAATGCCCCCAGTTTCAGTCGACCCTGTACGCCGACGTAGATGAACACTCACTGGGAAGCTGTTCAGCCGAAGTGGCGGCAATCAATGAAAAAGGAAAGACCAAGAAGAAGGAGAAAAAGAGCTCCTCGTCTTCTCACAGCAAGCCCAAGCCGCACGCCGACGTCAAGCCGGTCAAGCCACAGCCGCTGAGGCCACAACCACAGAATGGCAATGGGTGCGTTGCGTACTTCTTGGACTCTAGAGCTGTAACTGTTTCTTGAAAATGCGTTAAATTCCAGATTGCGCCAATTTCCGGTTGAGATAGAGGGAAATACAGCTCCCCTGCTTCGAGTGGCCTCCTATGATCATATGGCCGATCCACGGGATGTGCAAGGAGGAGCGTGGCGGAGTGGAAGTCAGGTAGGGAGAGAGAGAGAGAGAGAGAGAGAGAGAGAGAGAGAGAGAGAGATTGAGAGAGAAAGACACAGAGAGAAGGGGCGAGCGGAGTCGTGTCTGAACTGCTCGAACTTGTGCAGCGAGTGATTTGGAGAAAGGAGAGGCAGAATGAGTGAGAGAGACCTGTTCATCTCCCTTTAAAGCACGAAAATCTAAGGATACTTTTAGGAGCCGTACAACAATTCCCTGACCCTGCACCCAAGTGATCCCCGGCCCAGTCCATCTGCCTTCCACAACGTCTCCCCATCGGTGCAGAGAAATTCATTGCGAGGGAGCATCAAGTCGGTTTTTAAAGGTTTTTCGGGTGGGGCAAGCTAGCAGACATTTTTGCGGAAAAGGGAATGCTAGCAGATGCAATTTAAGAAAAAAACTGCACTTAACAAAACTTGTAAGTAAAAAACCCCGTATTCCAGATCTCTCCCCGATGCCGGCTCGTCCTCCCTCCACCGTACCCCTGATCCTCCCTCGACTCATGCTCCTCCCCTCCCTCCCCCACCTCGAGATCCCGGGCTAGCCATCGATGCCCTCGTCGCCGAGCTCGAGCTCAACACCGAGGAGGTCAGACGGCAACACGCACGGGTCGGTCCCTTTCCAAATAACACACTTCCCGGTTTTGGTTATTGTTTAGTTTCGCTCATTCTCAATTTGTGCTCGGTTTTCGAGGCTTTAGATGACATACATTATTCTGTAATTTTTAGTCAGCAATAGCGGAGAAGCGGAGATCATTCCCGACAGGTGGAGTGATGCGGAACAATGGGGATAATGGGTATTATGAAACGAGACGACAGATTGGAGGAGGACAACAACTGAGGAGAGGCACACAACCTGTCGGGTAAGCGAGAGAGAGAGAGAGAGAGAAAGAGCGAGAGAGAGAGTGAGAGAGATAGAGAGAGCGTCTGGACATCTCGAACTTCTGCGACCGGCGAAACCAGCCACAAATCGAGAGAGGACAGAGAGAGAGAGAGAGAGAGAGAGAGAGAGAGAGCGAAAGCGAGAGAAACACTAGAAAACTCCTAAAAATTGCCTAGTTTAGATACAGTAATCAACCAAACCGTGCCAATCTGGACGATATGGCGTCAATGCTGACAAGTGTCGCCGATGAGTTCTCTCTCGACCGACAACAAAGAGGAAAGGCCCCTCCACAACGCCAGAATAGCGGTCGGTCATTTTTGTAGTCTGTAGCCTATAGCTATGGCTTGAAAATTCCAAAAACTCTCGTTTTAGAGTACGACTTTTAGCCAATATACCATGAGAGGTAAACCTATAGTAATTTAGCTATCTAGCAACCGAATGTGTTATTTTTTACATTGCTACCTTGATTTGATCAAGTATACGAATTAAACGCGAATTTTTTCAGGCAACTCGAACCAATCCTCCATCTATTCCATCCCCCATATGCATGCCCCGCCGTTTGAAACGATTAATAAGGTAAGTAGAACGTACTGTCTAAAATAAACTAATGAATACCATAGGATTTTAAATATCTAATCTAAGAAATGTCTAATTTTCATGAATTTTGGTTAATTTCGTTATTATTAATCCGCTTAGGGCTGCCAGTGAAGAAAATCATGAAAAAACCGTTTTTGAGCTATTCATTTACTTTAGCCTTTTTACTTTCTTTGCTCTGGATTTCGTTAAATCTCTGATTTTTCAAAAGCTATATTAAAATTAAATTTCGTTCGTTAACATTATTCGATTCTAGTCTATTTCCCACTCCAGTCTTACGTGTAGGAAAATAGCTTTCAACTATGCGCCGTTCGGCCAAGCAACGAATGCAATAAAGTATTAAATACCAGCCCCTTGCAGCGGCAAAGCGGCTGGACTTCGGGCTACCCCCTGCACTCCTCCCCCTCGCCGAAACGCGCGCCACCTGGCTCACTATGTCCAAAATCATGCCAACCCCTGTCCCCCCACCTCTTCGACTAAGGAAAAAGCTTTTAAAGTTAAATTTAATAATTTAAACTAAAACTTTTTCATAATTTTTTATCAGTTTTGGGGTTTCTGACCACGCTCTATCCGAATCCGAAGAGAGCTAAGCTCTAGCTCCTTTCCCCTTCGAGTTGAATTCGGCTTCGCACATACACACGCACAGATTAAAAATATATTTTGTTCGTTAACATTATTCGATTCTATCTTTTCAGGAACGCATCAACCCATCCCGAGTGGAAGCCATGCAAAACGTGTTTGAGACCAAAAGTGGGTTTAAAAAACATCGGCAAAAATTGAGAGTTTTGACATAATTTTTTTAAATTAGCCCTTTCTTATGGAATCTTCAGAGGATGCTCATCCATATGTTAATTTCAAATTCCAGGGCGCTCCTCACAAAACTAGCCCCCAGCCCCTCGAAACCATGCAAAAATTGTAAATATTGAAGTTGGTGGTTGCACAGTCTCTCTCTCTCTCGCTCACTCTCTCACCCCGCTTTTTGTCCGTTCGGTTCGCGCAAAAAAAGATTGCTCAACATTGTCTCCTGGTTTCCAAAATTCACCGTAATCTACCGTACAATGCCGTATTGTCGCGTACTCGTCATTAATCGCCACTTTTTCAAGGTTATCACAGATAATTATGTTCTATTTTAGACGCGGAATGGCGCCGCGGCCCTCAGCCCTTCAAAAGCAGCCGAGAAGACGAGAATTTCTACGAATTCCCCGACAATCAACAACCAACCGCTTTCACTTCACCCCGAAAAGTTGGTCTCAAGTTCGATTTTTTTTAATTTCTCGTTGGTTTTAGAATTTTGACTACCCCCCACAACCCCAGCAACCACATAGCCAACCACCAAATGGACCGCCGATGCAGAGGAATGGTACGGTAGATGGGGGGAGGGGTCTCTGCTAGCTTGCCTTGACGATGGAAAACATTCTCCAATAGGCTCTGCTAACTTGCTAAACGCTTAAATTACGAATTTCAACGTTTCTAGGGCCACAATTTCCATTTTAAAGGACCATTGAAGGCAAAAAAGTAGACAAAATGGTCTCTGCTAGCTTGCCAAGCGCTAAAATCCCAAATTTCGTGATTCCAGCATCCCAATTCCCATTTGGAGGGCCATTGAAGACTCAGAAAAATGTCAAATGGTCTCTGCTAGCTTACCTCGGGATGGTAAATATATCTCAAATGGCCTTTGTTCCCGAATTTCACAATCTCTAGGGTGGCAATTTCCATTTTAAAGGACCATTGAAGGCAAATCTTGATTTCCAGGCTCGGCCGGCTCATCCCAAAATGGTGGCTACTACTCGTCGAACAGCTCGGATCATCATGTTGGCCAACAGGCACATCATAATGGAGGACTCATTCGAAGAGGATCACTGCCTGGTGGGGCATCATCATCATCAAGGCGTCTATCATCACGGCATCCATCCAATGATGATGATGATGGATTTTATGATAATATTGCACAGGTAAGGGTGCTCTCTCCCTTTCTCTTTCTCTCTCTCTCTCTCTCTCTCTCTCTCTCGCTCTCTTTTTCTCTGGTTATGCCCTTTATCGATCTGCACAAGTTCGAGGAGTCCAGGCTTGTTTTCTCTCACTACACCTAGATCTGCACAAGTTCGAGCAGTTCAGACTCGCTTTCTTTCTCCCTCCATCTGCACAAGCTCGAACAGTTCAGAATCATACTCTCTCATTTTGCTCAAGTTCAAGCAGTTCTGGCTCGTTCTTTCTCGTGTCGCCCAAGTTCAAGCAGTTCAGACCCGTTTTCTCTCGCTCTCGATTTGCACAATTTCGAACGGTTCTAGCTGTTCACTGTCATTCACGATCTGCGCGAGGTCGCGGAGTTCAGAATTTCGATCCGCCGCTCTCTCGATCCGCCGCTCGGCGCAACTTCAAGCAGTTCAACCCCTGCCCCATTTCCAGTTTGATGATCGACGTTTCTCTCGTGGAAGTGAGGTATTCGAGACGGGTTCTCTCAACAGGACAGCATCCACCAAAAGCCACACCCACAACAAGATTGGGTATGTTCCTCCCTGTCTCTCCCCCTTTAAGCCCTCATCTTCCAGGTCATTCTTCCGTAAAATGGGTGGTGGTCGTCCCCCGGGTGCCGCAGCGAGTCTTGTCTCTCTCAACAAAGCCGGCATCGAACCACAGATTCATTCTGGGGGATCGTCTCTTCTGCTCAAATCGGCCAGTCTCAGCCAAGATCCGTGGCATCAGCATGTTATTGGGGGAGGAGGAGCTGGAGGAGGAGGACGAGGACCATCTATGCCTTCAGGTATGAATATATTGCTTGTTTTTTGGCTTCAGTGGTCCCTTAAAACGAATTTTGGCGTTTTTTAAAGAGCCTGGAAAGCATACAGTATGGCACAAAATTCGTTTTTTTTTTGTTAAAATCCACTTCTCAGCGCCTTTAAAGGGACACACAAGGCATAATTATGGGGTTTTTCGCCCATGGATTTTAACCGCGCATTAATAGCCGTCAATATTTAAATCATACCTTAATTGATGCTAATTTCAGGCGCCGACTCCTCAAAGCACCACGGCCTTGGCCATCGCCTCAAAAACTCGCTTTTCGGCTCGAAAAAACGGCTCAACATCCACTAATTTATTCGCCTCTCATTTGCATCCCAAATATCCCCAAAATTCCCTCTCTATTCCTGTCACGCCCCCTCTAAAATGCCCCCTTGTTATGCTAATTTTTCTTTCCTACAAAAAATCGATTTTAGCTCAATTTTTAGCGATTTTTTTCTATTTTTTGGGTATTAGCGGGGAATAATCAAATATAAATTTAAATACGTTCATTTTAGCCTAAAAACACGCATTGTTTTAATAAAAATTGCCCCCAATTTTCTCTGCTCCCTCTCGATTCTGGTGCTCTCTCCCTCGCCTGCTGATATTTGCATAAATTGACGAATGATTCTTGGGTTTCATTTTTATTGATTTTTGGAACGTATAAATCTTGAGAAAACGTGCAGGAAAGGGTACAAACCACAAACCACAACAAACTGCCGTCTTGCAGAATTCCTAAATAAACGCTGCTAGCGTAGTCTTTTTAGCTGCCCTAGTTTTCCTCAAATGAATTTTGCTAGCTTGCCGTACCGTAATTTTTCAAATCTGTGAATGAACTCTGCTAGAATACCCGGTCTGAAAAACACCAATTGCTAGTTTTGCCGATTTTCCGCAGTGGTTTCTGCAAGTTTGCCTGGCCCAGCTTCTCGGGGTGGAGTGAATATCCTAAAAAATCTATGCTAGCTTGCCGGGACACATTTCTGGAATTCCGCAAGGTTTCTCTGCCAGGAGGCCCCGGCTGAAAAACGCAAATTTGGTCATTTTCTTGGGTTTTCTCAACGGTCTCTGCTAGCTTGCCCAAATTCGCTGATTGGACGCAGCGCAGTTTTTTTCAAGAAATCTTTGCCAACTTGCCATCGGCGGTTTTCAAGTCCCCAAAAATCCTTGCTACTATGCCCGGCTCAGAAGACCCGCAACTTCAGGAAATTTCCTCCAAGGATATCTGCTAGCTGTCTGATCGTCTGAGGGGCCGAAATTTCGTATTTATAATTTTCTCTATTTCCATTATTTTCAGGTGGGTGTTGAAGTTGGCACCCCGCCAATCCTTTGTCAATGCCGGTTCCCATGGTTTCAGATCGGGGTTCGGTTAATTCGATTTGTTCGGTGTGGGACCGGAGACTGAGAATGAGTGGGGGGCAGCCAGGTGATGCCGAACTCCGCTTTTCAATCAACACCCAAATTGGGTCCCACAACGGCCCTAGGGGACAAGGAGAACACAGCGAGCTGAAAATGGGCATTTTCAGAGGAGAAGGGGGGTACCCAGGGCAACGAAGTCATACAGGCAAATAGCCAGCAAAAGAGAACGAGCACGGAAATAGACGTGTAGTCATTTTTTAGACGCGTTTAGTGCTCTCTCTCACTCGCCCCCCCTCTCGCCAATCTTCGCGAAAATAGCACCAATTCAGCCTAACTTGGAACAATGCCAGAATCTCTGAATCTGATCCAGAATGTAGCTACGTGAATTTCTGCTATTATGTACCCTTTGGCCTCTAGAAACACCCGGAAATGACCACGCCGGAAGCTCGTTTTCTCAGTTTTATACCTCATTCTTTTGCGTCTGTTTTTAACAATTTACCACCTCTCTCTCACTCTCTCTCACGCTCTTTCTCTCTCGCTCTCGCTCCATCTATCTCTCGCTCTCTCTCTCTCTCTCGCTCCAACTATCTCACGCTCTCTAGCCGTCTCCCACCCCTAGAAAATAACGATTTTTTTTGTCAACATCATTTCTTTCCTTAGTTAACACATTTTATTTGGCGCGGAGTTCTTTTCCGGCTACTAGTCGGCCTCCCATTTACAGTCATTTTCTTCGCAATCCAACCACTTGTCCACCCACGGTCCCTCATTCTCCTTTTGCGTGTATTTGAAGCGGCAGTAAGGGAACGCCAGCCCTGGAACCACATACAGCTCGCCGACTACTGCAAAAAAATAAGTTACACTCTCCAAGTCGCTCACTGTCTCCCTCACGCTTTTTGGTATTTTTATGGCCGGCTGCACATCTTCTAGGAGTTCTAGTTAGAACACGTTCTTTCTCTCACTCTCCCGATCTGCACAATTTCGAGCAGTTACGATTCGCTTTCACTCTCTCACTCTCTCACGCTCGCTCTGTTCTCGCGTCGATCCGGCCGATGCCTCGCTGCACAACTTCGAGCTGTTCAGACCCTGCCTCTCTCTCTCTCTCTCTCTCATTCTGTCTCTCTCTCTCCTCGACCAACCTTTCTGATAGAACTTGATATGATTGACGAACGGGCGCAGACACATCGATTTGAACTGAAAACGCGTGGGCCAATTTCTGGGATGTAGATCTCTAACGAACCGTCCCATCCTCCAGCGTCAACCCCACTTTCACAAACATTTTGTCGAGATGATTCCGCGTGGTGTAATTGACCGCCTGAGCACATCCCCGTTGGTGCCAATCCTCTTGAAAATCCCAATGAAATTCAAAATCCAAAAAGCGGTGCTTATAGCATAACGGGGGGGAGGGTGTCCAAATGTACAACTTGTGAAGCGAAGAGTGCATGTGGAGTAGAGATCGTCTTTGGCCCACGTCTTCTCGTCCCACACCGCTATCTTCCATCCATCGTAGTTCCAAAACAAATATTGGGGGTTTTTTTGCTACAGAATGTCGAGATTTATAATTATCTCACACTCTCTCGCCCTCTCTCTTTCTCTCTCGCTCACTCTCACTCGCTCACTCTCTCTCACTCTCGCTCGCTTTCTCTCTCACACTCTCTCTTGCTCTCGCTTGCTCTTTCTCTAACTCTCTCTCACTCTCTCTCTCCGTCTCTCTCTTTCTCTCACTCTCTCGCCCTCTCTCTCATTCGCTCTCACTCTCTCGCTTTCTCTCACTCACTCTTTCTCTTGCTCTCTATATCTCTCTCCCTGTCTCTCTCTTTCTCTCTCGCTCTCTCGCTCTCTCTCTCTCTCTCCCTCTCTCTCTCTCTCCTCTCACCGGTTTCCACACAAAATCTTCGGGCACAACCATCTTCGTTATCTCAAACCAAAAGCACAACCACCGATCATGAGTAGTATGCGGTGGACAAGAGGGATATTCATAAATATCCGCCGATATCAGCACATAAAATATGGCGGTCGTGGCAAGGCGGTAGAGCATAGCTTCTGGAGACTATTGTCGCTACGACTCGAGTCGGGAAAAATATAAACCATCGGCAGTTTATGCGAACGGCTATTCAAAAACAGTACGTAGGGGAAATAGGATATCGACGGTTGGTTCAATGGAATCTGGTGAAAACATGAGGAAGCTCGGTACTGGACTAGTAGCGGGGGGACTTTGTAAAGGGAAAAATATTTTTGTCTTTCCGTTAAAAACTCACAACTACAAACGCAAAGAATTGTTAGAAACTGACAAAGGTTTTGGTCAACTCATTTTTGGTTATAAGGTTCTCTATAAAATAAATGTGGTTTATACCTCATTTTGTCCCCCCCCCCCCGCTAAACAGCCTTTACCTATTTTTGGACCACCACGACTCAACACTCCCAAAACCCCCCAAAAACACCCCGTAAATTGATGCTCCCCGGAAGCGAATTTCCCCCATTTTCTACCTCTTTAGTGTTTTTTGGCTTAAAGTCAGGCTAGTAAAGAAACTTTGACAATTTTTCTGTATTGCTTTCAAGGGTTTTTAAACTTTATTTGTTGCTTTTTCCTGCTGCCTCGTTGTTCTCCCGCCCGGAAATTGGCTCCATTTTCTTCTTTCTTTCTCATTAATTGTTTATTACCCGGAAAAATCGAGGTTTATGGCGACTTTGGCTTGTTTTTGGGCATAGAAATCGTCACCTTTCCGCGCTATCGTAGTTTGTAGTCACTTTTAATGCCGTACAGTAAGTCAGAACATCGATTTTAACAAAAATCCAAAAACATGCGCAAGTTTTTGCTTTTTTTCATTTTTCTAGAACTACCGTAATTAATTTGTCATTTTTGATGATTTGATCTTGTTCAGAATTTAATGCTCATACTTTTAGTGAATTCCCCCCGCTTTTTCAGCCCCGCTACGCGCCACTCCGAAATGACGGCCCACCTTCCCCGCATCAAGGCCACCGCTGAATGGGTGAGAAGTTGGAATCTGCAAAAAAAACACTTCGAAAATTTTGGGAGTCGTAGCAACGCGGAGAATTGAAATTCTCATGGGAATCCAAAGAACGGGCTGGCGTGCGAATTTTGTGATTTGAAAAATGGAAATGGAAATATAGAAACCACAAATATACGTGGGAGGGTAGAAACTCTAAAAATTCGGAATTTTTGTGATTTTTAAATTTTGGAGGCATTTAGATTTTTGGGCACGGCTTTTTTGACATATATTGCGCCTGCGATACGCAACGCGCTACTTTTCGCATTTAATTGCGTAAACGATTGCTACCACTTTCGACGGGCGAGCGGCATGCGCGTTGCGTGTCGCGGTTGGTCTGGCTGCGTCGGTATTTCATAGCGTAATCGATTAATTCGCATAGCGGGAAAGGCGCCGCGTGCGTTGCGTGTCGCGGTGTTCGTGGCAAAAGCTGCGGCAGCGATTTTCATTGCGTAATGAATTACTGCCTTTTGATGAAAGTGCGTTGCGTGTCGCGGTACCGGCCAAATCCATAGCTTTCCGCCAAATCCATACGTATTCAAAACTTGCCAGTTCTTTTAAGCCTATTTTCACCATTTTTTCAGCGTTCGGGCAGCAACTGGAACAGCAATTCGTCGTGGCGAGGAGGAGGTGGAACTGATATCTACACCAACAGATCCGCCGACTCGGACAGGGACCCGGAGGTCTGTCATTTAAAGGAATCGGGAAGTGAAGGAATCCAGCGTTTTTTGGTACCAAAATTTAATTTTCTAATTTACTAGGTTTAACATTCTAATTGCGGTAAAATTACATCGTTTTTAATTATTTTTCCCGCTAAAAATCCCTTCCGAGCTGAAAAGAAAAATAGATTACGCTATGAAAAACCCTTCCTAATCGATTACGCTTTGAAAATCTGGATGTCGATAGGAGCGTGGCGTTTAGCTACTAAAAACCACTAGGAGGAATCGATTACGCAATGAAATCCTCGATTCAGCACTCTGCAGTTAAAACCAAAATTATAGCTTTTCATTGCTGCCATGAACACCTCACGATCAGGGCCCATTTTTGGCTTCCTAGCCCCTTTAAAAAGCCTGAAAGTCGCTTTATCCACTGCTGGATCTCTTAATAACCCGATTGTTATTGGCAGAATTGGGGGTGAAATCCCCCGCTCTCACCTACAGGGTTTCACACCCCATTTTTTCTACGGCTTTTCTCAACCTCCCCAATTTCCCTGGCTATTTTTCTGTAATTCTCTCACTTCCGGTGTTCTCTCTTTTTCTCTCTCCCTCTCTTTCTCCCGCTCTCTCTCTTTTTCTCTCCCGTTACCTGTTAATTAGTGGGTCTTCAAAAATGTCCCCAGGGCACGGAGCGAAGGCTTCTCCCATGGACCCCTGATTACAGGGCCGCTGCGGCCTTGATTTCATTTTTAGGGCTGTGTTCTCTCTCTCACTCACTCTCTCACTCCCTCTCTCTCTCTCTCACTCCCTCTCTCTCTCTGTCTCTCTTACTCTGCGTGGGCCGCTAAATATCCGAAATGGCGACTTTGATGTCATTCTTTCACCACTCAAAGAACGTGTCTTTCACTGTTTTTGAATTTTCCTCAAGAATTCTGCTTGTTTGCCTTGACGGACGTTGGAGCATACTTCCTGAATAGTCTCTGTTAGCATGCCTTTTACCTTACCCTCCGTTCCCAAAGCATCTCTGCTTGGATGCCCTTCTCAGCTCCTCCGAGTTCTTGAAAGAATTTCTGCTAGCCTGTCTGCCGCCTCCATGCTGTCGAATTTCCCTAATGGTCTCTGCTAGCATGCCTCTTTTTTTGCTTATCCCTTTGTATTCTCAAAGAATCTCTGCTAGCCTGCCTCCGTTTTCCTGTGGGTCTTCCTCAATGCTCTCTGCTAGCCTGCCCACCTCAAACTGGCCCATTTCCCCAAAGATTCTCCTCAAGCCTACTGCTGTCGGGTTTCCTCAATAATCTTTGCTAGCATGCCTAGCCCGTCCCTTACCCAACCACCTCTGCTAGCTTCTCCTTTTTCAAAGCTTCTCCCACTTCCCCAAAGAATCCCAGCTAGTTTGCCCTGTTTCGTGCAAGAAAAGACCAAAATCCACCGTGTAATTTTGCTCTTTTTATGGCTCCACCAAACCACATGGCCACCCTCCCTAATTACTCCCAATTTTATGGGCGCCAATTTTTAACGGTTCTCCTTACAAAAACGACTCTAAAAGGCAGTTGCCAGCCGGTAATTACCATTTATTTAGCGCTAGGAAGGAATCGAAAAGTATAAAATTTGACGATTTGCAGTCCGGAAGGAACTTTGGAATTTGCTCTAGTTTCAATCGATTTTTTGAGTTTTGCATATTTTTGAAAGCATTTTATCTTATTTTAAAGGGATTATGAAGGCAAATATTTGCGCTGAAATCTCACAAAAACTAATTTTTCGAGTTTTTAGACAAAATTAAGGAATTTCTGGTGTGTTGCCAACACCTTTAAAAGCCCGGCACGCGCCATAATAGCCAAAGCAAGCTAGCGGGGACCATTTAGAAAATCTTTAGAAACCCCGGGGAAGCTGGCAGGGATGCTTTGGGACATTTTGACCTGGCTGAACACTTCAAATTTGAGGGCAAAGTGGTAGAGACCATTTTGGAATAGAATGGATGGGCAGGGCAGCAGAGATTATTTGGGAACCACCGAACAGCTAGGCAAGTCAGCAGAGACCATTCAGGAATTTTTCTAAGCACAGGTTTTTCCTCTAATTTTCCTTGCCCCCTCAATTTCCCGCGCGTTCGCACACCTTGGGAAAGCCGGAAATTAAAATGTCGATATGGGGGAGTAGAGAGAGAGAGAGAGAGAGAGAGAGAGAGAGAGAGAGAGAGAGAGAAATCGAGGCTGCTGCCGCTGTTTGTTAGAATTGAATTTGTTCGGGTGGTCCCCCATTTTCTCAGCGCTCTTATATTCGAAATTCTGATCCCTTGAAGCACCTAAAATATTCTAAAGAATTTGCGCTCGGAAACGCGCCCCAATCCCATGATTCACCTACCGTAACCCCCATTCGCGGGACCAAAAGAAACCCAACATTCCGAAGCCATACTAGAGACGGAGGAGGATTAACCCCCCGGAAAGATGAAGGAATATTAGTCCGACTGGCCTCCCTCATCTGGCCCCTAATACTTTCCATTCCATTCCGTTCCACCACATTCCTATCTACACCTAGCGGAAGCTGGTATTGATTCGGAATTCTTCGGGGTTAAGCCTCAGTTCCCGGCGAAATGTATAAGGTAAGAAAAGATAAATATCTCTCTCTCGCACTCTCTCTCTTTCTCTCTCTATAGCCTAGTAAGAATTTCTTCAAAATTTCTCTGCTAGCTTGCCCAGTACCTGGAATTAAGAGGGCGTGGAAAGCTAACCGCGTATTTCTGTCTATTTCTCTCTTACGCTCCTCGAATTTCCTCAAACATCTCTGCTAGTCTGCCAAAACTTCATATAGCCTTTAAAGCTATAAACCGTTTGTTTCTGACTATTTTTCTCTCGTTCTCTCTCTTAGCCTTTCTCTCGCTCTGTCTCTCTCTCCAGCTGTATTTTTGTCTCTCTGTCCTTTTTGCTCCCTCTCTCTCCGATTCTCTATCGTTTTTCTGGCTTTTGAGCTCTACCCGAAATTGACTTCCGGAAATAGACGCAACCCCCGATTTTCGCCAAAAATAATTACATCCAAGCGGGTGTCGGAGTGAAGCGGAACTTCCGCTAGTTTAGGATACTGTATGCCTATCTCTCTCTCCCTCTCTCTCTCTCTCTCTCGCTCTCTCTCTCTCTCTGCCCAAAATCTTTGAAGCCCCTAAACATTGCCCCCCCCCCTGCTGATTTGCGTCATGGGATTTCCCATCTCCCACGAGGTGGATTAAATCTCTCTTTTTTGGCGCCCAGCCAAATCCCATTCTCACCCCGATTTTCTCTTCCTTATTATTGCAATTTATTTGCATAAATTGAAAATATTCTTCGGGAATTTGGTCGCTTTTTAAAGGGCCATTGAAGTCAAATTTCTGTGGATTTTTCAAATTAGATTAAAACCATTAAAACCCGAAAAAAATAAAATTTAAAAAATTACTAAAATTTTTTCTTTTCAGAAAATCATGCTGCCCAACGTACCGCAACCGAAGAACGGAATGATACGGTAATTCTGATTTTTTGAAAAGTTTCATCGTTAAAATTTGTAGTACGTACGAGAACTCTTCACGGACATTCACACGTCCCTACTCGGCCAAAACCGTCTTTTTCTACAAGGAGGGCGATGAATATTTTACGGTAAGACAAGGTTACTGTAACTATTTTTTGTCAAAAAGTTAAACACTAAAAATGGTTTTTAGGGAGTTCGCATTCCGGTCTCGAAGGCCCGATACCGTACCATCGACACTCTGTTGGATGATTTGAATACGAATATACCGGTAAGTAAACGAGGGAATTGGCGGGTCTAATCGTTTACGCTATGAAAATCGCGTCAATAAGGGGCTCGGAGTGCGGATTAAAACCAGCATTCAATAGATTACGCTACGAAATCCTGTCGTCCATAGTAGCCTAGCGTCCTCGCGCCAAAAATGATAGGCTTGATCGATGATGTACAGTTCGACCATTTTCGAGATCGGGAGACAGAGAGAGAGAGAGAGAGAGAGAGAGAGAAATTATTGATGACTCCTTTAATTACCGTGCTTTGTCCATTATTTCGTAATTTAGATGGCGTACGGTGTGCGACGTCTGATGACACCAATGGGGAGGAATGAAGTGCAAACGATTGATGAATTGCAACATCTTGGAAAGTGAGTAGTATACAAGGGAATAGACCCATTAAAGGGAGGGTGACAGCAATTGGCAAAAATCAGTTGCGACGGGGCAAATCTTGCTGTCACGATCCCTTTTAGATCGCATCTTCATTTTAACAAAAAAAATCCAAATAATTGGCAAGCTAGCAGAGACGATTTATCTCCATTTTTCAGATACGTAGCGACCTCCGGGAAGTCTCGAGGTCTCAATCTCTCCGGAGTGGAAAGACTTCAAAAGGCAAGAGAGGCAGCCGAGAAAGCTCTACGACGAGAGGGGCCAAATGGACAGTCATATTGGGTAGACACACACGCTAACGAGAGGCACGGGGGCGCTACGAGACACTACAATACACACGCTAGAATCTGTCCTAGATACGGTAGTTAACGTGGTCCCGGGGAAATCGCTAATTAATTCGTTACGGTAGCTATTACCGCAAATCGACCATTTTCCTAAAGAATCCTTTCGATTCGGCACTTAGATGGCAACTGCTTTCCATTAATGCGTGACAAATAATTCAGCACCATAAGTAGATTTGTCTAAAGAATCTTTAGATCAGTTAAACGGTCCTTCAAAGTGCACATAAGCGTTTTTTTCGCTCTGTCTCGCTCTCTCTCTGTCTCTCTCTCTCTCGCTCTCTCTCTCTCTCTAACCTCCGAACGCCAATCCATCCAAGAGGGGGGATTAACCCTCCAAAAAACGATGAGATTAATTTTCCCACGAGTCCTGGGGAATGAAAAGAGGAGATCCGCGTTAATTGTGTTGTAGAGTAGTGCATTGTATAGGCTCGACAGAAATAGTGAAAAAGTGTGCAGAGACAGACCCCCAAAAATCCAAGATAACACCTATCAGATCGCTCAAAAATAACTAAAATTCGGCCCACCCGCACTATTTCTGTTATTGGATAGACAGCACCTAGAGGGAAATTTCGGCTTTGACTTTCCAGTCCATTGATACTAAAACTCTAAACTAAAAAAAAATGCAAATTCTAGATTCCGGCCTCGCCGTCGTACCGTCAGAAATTGAGAATGTCGAGGACGCTTGGGTTGAATGTACAGCCATGCAAACAGGTACAGTACTTGTCGAGACCTAGTCGAAAAATCGTTGATTTAATGCCTTGCCGACCCCTTTAACAACGCTAACCAGGAATTTTTATTGGCTTTTTCATTAAATTTTTACGAAAGTTGGCGTGCAGCGCCATGCAAGGTGCCGATGAAGACCATGCGCAGGTGCTTTATCGACGCGTTGCGTGTCGCACCCGCGCTAAAAATTTATGCGTGATTCCAAGCTAACGATTTTCCTGGAAAACTACCTTTCAACCCTGGTTACCGCCTAATTTTGTTTCAGATCTTCTTCGTGCTGAACGGGAAAACGCAAATATTCCGCCTCGTGCTCAACCCGATTCGAATGCCCCATCTGGATACACTGCTCGAACAGATCAGCCTCGGATTGGGGGTATGTCGTTTGGAGTTTGTAGTCTTACGTAGCTTGACCTCGTGATCCGCCGCTTTTTAGTCTTATCTCGAAAATCATGCCTTCATGTGGCCGCTTTTTAGGGAATCTGTAGTCTATGGCCACGAGTCTGTACTTTGTCGCCGGGAAAAACCGTCCCCTTTTCCAGGCGGCCGTCGATCGTCTATACACATTTGAGGGGCGAAAGATTGAGAGAGTCGAGGAGATGATGGACGTTACACCACCTAAGGTAGCACATATTCAAAATTGGGTTGCCCAATCGAAGCGACGAATCACGATAGCGACCGCTCCCTTGCTAATCCCTTTAAAATGGGTGTGGAATTGGAACTGGGGAGAGGGGGATTAGGGGGGCGATTCCGCAGAATTCAGAGAAAAGGCACCGGAAATAGAAGTAAATGGAGAACGGCGGTGATCGATGGAAATTGAGTCATTTGCTACAGATTTTAAACCCCGGAAAAGTAAAAACAAGTCGAATTTCATGGCGTAATTGGCTAAATACCCAGGTTTTTCCAAAATTAACGCTTTTCTGCCTTAGCCTCTAAACCCATAAAAATTAGCTTTAAAGGGGCCCGGAAGGCAAGGTTGGGCTCGGATTTCATGACGTAATCGATTGCAGTCAGGAATTAGTCATGGATTTATCACTTCACTAGGCCTTTAAACGGGAGAGAGCGAGTGAGAGAGACAGAGAGAAAGAGAGAGAGAGAGAGAGAGAGAGAGAGAAAGGGAGAGAAATGCCGACATCATCCCGCTTCCATTGCATTGGTGGTAACCAAGAAATAGCGGTGCCCCTCAGAAATTCGATTAACGCGCTGGTGGGAAAATGAAGAGGTGGAAAAACGGCGGGACCCAGCCACCTAGTCAGTAGTATCACTGCGAAACGGAGCCGCTTGTTGGCTATAACCCGGCCAAAATACCGACAGAATATCGATTCGGGTTTTTGGGGACATTTTTAGGGCGTGGGAATTTTTCCGTTGAGCTTTGACGCCTCAATTCCCTAGAGGAATTCATACTAATTGCATGAAATTTATAAGCTTTTACCGTGGTTTTTAAAACGAATTTTAGGCCGAATCTTTCTATTTTAATTTTGGTTAATTTAATGTGTGCGTTTTTGCGCTAATTACTGTAGAAATAACGTAATACCCTGATGCTATTAGGGCATTTTTGCACCTGCCAAATGGCCATTCCACAATTCTCCCAAATTTCTGCCCGCAATACTTTTGTTTCCTAACATAAATTTATTTTTAATTTATTAGTTTTTATTTTTGTTTTTAATCGAGATTTAATTAAATTTTAAACAAGGCTTTTTAGAGATTTTGATTTTTAGGCAGGCTAGCAGAGCTTCTTCAGGAAATTTCTTCACCTCTTGTTGTTTTCCAAGTCCCTTTAAAGCTAGCATTTTATGGAGTCAATATTTTTAGCTGATTTTCGCTATTATGAGGCCCAGGCAAGGTAGGCTAGCAGCGATCTTTGAGGAAATTCGACTGGGCTGGCTAGGGGGCCCCACCGATCCTGTTCTTTTTCGAGTCTTTTGGATTTCTTGGTCGATTGTCTATTTTTGACGTCTGGCAATCTGGCAGAGGCCATTTAGGAAAACGTTTGGGGCTATCTAGCGGAGACCTTTGAGGAATGGAGTTCCGGATTTTTGTATTTTTCTAGTTGTTTCCGTTTCTATCCGATTTCCTGGAATTCGTAGTCACCCGTTCCCACCCTCACCTCCTCTTCTTTTCCCACAAATCGGAGGCCGGCTTCGAAAAATATTTTTTGTGGCCGTGGGCTGTGTCTGTCTCATCGCTCATCTCTCTCTCTCTCTCTCTCTATCTCTCTCTCTCCCTTTCTCTCGTCTTCAATCAATTTCTCAGCCCTTCTTCCCTCATTGAAATTCCGCCTAATTGGTACATTCTAAAAATCGCCTCATAATCTTTGACCATTAAAAGCTGAATTTCATTTCTAAAAACTCTTTCAAAAATCATGTGATTTTCTGCAGCCGGAATATATGCAAATGAAATGGGTGAAAGACAAGAACGACTAGTCGCCCTCCCTATTACGCATCTATTAAAGGTATACGGTAACTTGGAAATTAATGAGCTTAAAAACTGCGTGTTTTCCGGTTTTTAGATGTCCAAAAGAAATAAATTATTCTACATCGTGCATACGGTAATTTGAGGCGTAGGTTTTATTAGTTTTTTGGAGCCCGTATTATTACTGCTAAAAATTAGGTAAAAATCGATCTTTTGATATGACTTAAAGGTATGTATCAGGTTGGAACGAAAGTTTTGTCGCCGAGATTTTGGAAGGCTGGCTAAATTCGTAGATAGCTCCATTCTGCACGTGCGATATGTCATTTTATAGCTCTCGACCTGAATGGGTTGGGCCTGTATCTCAGCTGTTCTTGATTTTGAGGGCCCAGGACCCTCCTCCCGGGACCATTCAGGTCGAGAGCTATAAAATGACATATCGCACGTGCAGAATGGAGCTATCTACGAATTTAGCTAGCCTTCCAAAATCTCGGCGACAGAACTTTCGTTCCAACCTGATAATTATCGAAAGAGCTGCGCGGAATATGAAATGATAAGGAAACGATTGGGTTGTATAGATCATCGCCGTGCCGAGACACGAACGTCTACAGTTGAGAGAAAAATTCGCTCTCCCTCCACTCTTCACAAATCGATCCGATCGGTCGACGGCCAGGAAAAATGGTAATTTTTTTTAGTTTTCTGTTGTGGATTTTGGCGAAGAATAGGTGTCGCCATCCCTTTAATACGATAAATTCCCGGTTTCCAGACACAGCCCGTCAATCGAATGGTCGAGCCGGTCTCCCAACGGCCAGTCTCCAATCATCATCAACCACTAATTCATACCAAGAATCGAATGGCATCGAAAAACCGAATAAGGCTACTATTAATGTGAGCTGTTATTAAAAGTTTTTCTACTGGCTGGGCAAGCTAGCAGAGGTTCTTTGCTTTGGAATGTTTCTCATAGGTCCCGAACCCTACCCGTAATTCTAGAACGCTCGGAAAAACACGAGGAAAATGACGGGCGCCCCGAAACGAAAGATACAACGTCGAATTCGTGAGTTTTTCCCTAGTACTAATCATTTTTGGGTAATTTCCATGTTTTAACCTTATAGCGTCCCTGGACCCTCCGAATTCAGCGACGACGAAAAGTGATGATTCCGGGAAGGCGCCGTCAGGTTTTCGGAATCCTTTAGGATCGTAAAACTAGATTTTTGCAGTTGAGAGCAGCGTTCGAACGATGAATGGAGAGGATATGCCGAGCGAACGATCTATTGAAACGAGCGCTAGTGATTATCGTAAGTCTTTAAAAAGACCATCCTGAATTACATGCCGTAATCGGTTCTCCCCGGCAAATTTCCTGCCGTAATCGATTATCCAGGCGAGTTTGCGCACTGATAGCCAACGAATTTCATGCGGTAATTTTATGATATAGCCCGTGTTCAATAGAATAGAATAAAATAAATTTAATAACCAAAAAATTACAGCCGGTTCGCCACTATCCGAACGAGCGAGTGCACGATCTGAAGAAGAGGTAAGCCGGCCGTCACACTCCCCTTAACTGCCTTCAATGACCCTTTAGAAACCGAGATCGGCCAAACCGGATACACCTGATAATGCAGAGACATATCTCAGCTCTGATGAAGGTGGGGCAATTTTATTGATGAAAATGGGCTGTCACACTCCCTTTAAATACTCCGCACCCTGAGTTTATAGCTCAAAAATTTGCGTTTTAACCTGAATAGTTTTAAAGGAAGCGTGACAGCAAGAGAAAAACTCAACATTGAGTAGCTCTTTGTGAATGTGCGCTAAAAACCCCAATAATACCCGCAAAATTGTAGACGAGGAAATGGAAAAACAAGAAAAAGCGGCAACGACCATCCAGGCAGCCTTCAGAGGGCATAAAGTCAGAAAGGAGATGATGGCCAGGGAGGAGCAGTATCACCCAGGTAACTTTTTGAAAATTTTTTTACAATTTACAGTATCTAAATTTTACAAAATCGTTTTCAAGGACTCATTTAGGGCAATTGAATTTTCTTTTTACTCTTAAAGTCCTTAAAAATGATAAAATTACAGTTAAGTCATAAATTATTCTGACTATATTTTTTAGAAGAACGCGCACGTCGTCACGAGGCCGCCACGAAAATCCAGGCCAACTATCGAGGGTATCGAGTGCGGAAGGGAGGCCGAGGAATTGGCGAGGAGCAGCGTAAGTTGGATTTTGGCGTACTATAGGGGTACTGTAGGGGTACGGTATTGCTCAATTCGTTACGACCCCTAAATAACGGAGCGCTTATCCACCGCATGCAAATTTGGCACTATTCGGTTACGGCATGAAAATATAGAGCCCTCACAGCCATTCGGTTACGGCATGAAAAGGCACAATCATTTTCCTCGACTTCCCAGGCCCTTTAAAAATTTGTCAAAATTGAGCACCGACTTCACAATCCCTTTAAAACGCATAAAAAAACCACTCGCACTTTAGCCGCGGCTACAAACTACGAAGCGGAAGGGGCGGAGGAGGACGAGGAGGCACGCAACGCGGCCGCAACGCGAATCCAGGCCCACTATAGGGGATATCGTACCAGAAAACAGCTAAAAGCAGGACGAGCGGTAGATGCTCAACAATATGACGAAGAAGAAGAGGCCGCACGCCACGCGGCCGCCACGCGAATCCAAGCCCAATATAGAGGGTACAGGACCCGGAAAGAGCTGAATACAATGAGAAATGGGAAGGAGGAGGAGGAACTCGACGAAGAGCATCTAGCCGCAACGAAGATACAAGCACAATATAGAGGATATCGGACGAGGAAGGGGCTCGCGGCGGGACCCGGAGAGGAGACGGAAATGGATGAGGAGGAGGAGAGGAGGAGACACCAAGCTGCCACCAAGATCCAGGCCCAATATCGTGGGTATAGGACGAGGAAACAGCTCAAGAGGGGTCAAGGTATTTTCAAGATTGTTTTGTATAGTATTGTAATGCACTTTTTGTTCGAAAGCAGGCATAAAAATGTCGTAATCGATTACGCAATGAAATCGAGCACGAGTTCGTGTCGTTCTAGTCCCTTTAAAACGTCCCCTACCGTCCCATTCAGAAAGCTATGAAGCGAAAGAAGAAGCGGCCACCCTCATCCAGGCAACATATAGGGGATACCGTACCCGAAAAAGGCTCAAACACGGTAGAACGCGTGCAATGGTCTTTTTTGAATTTTCTGTTTAGCGCTTTGAGTGGCTTTTTGTCATTTGTCGTTTTCGCTACCGTAGGCCGGATTTTCAGTCGACTTCACCGGAGAACAGCCAACTGTCATTGAAGCTGAGGAAGAGATGGGAGGGGTTGAAGAGGAAGTGGAGCATCGCGTACACGATGCCGTGGAAACGGATGAGGGAGTGGAATCGGCTGGAGGTAAGAGAGAGAGAGAGAGAGAGAGAGAGAGAGAGAGGGAGAGAGAGAGAGAAAGAGAGGCAGACACATAGAGGGGAGTGAGACAGAGAGAGAGCGAGAGAGAGAGAGTGACAGACTGAGAGAGCGATAATTCGTTGCTTACTATAGCTTTTGTAGAAGTTTTTGGTTTTGCTTCGAAATCGCTAATTTGCTTGGCTTTTTGTAAAAACATCACACTTATTGTTTTTAAGCTTAAAATATTCAAATACCAATAGTAATTCACTGAAAATATACTGTAAAAAAAACTAGATAGTACGGTGATTTTCTACCAATTTTGCGTCAATAGGAATGGCGTACACGATCGCTGTGCTGACGGGCAATAGATGGGGCGCAGACTCGGAGGCTGATCTGTACGTGACACTCCATGGAGATGACGCGACAAGCACACAATTTTGGTTGAAACCCGATGTGAGTTTCGGGCTTCTTTTTCCTGAATGATATTTACTAAAATTTAAATATTACTAGGTCCCGGTTCAGGTATCCTGGCTGCAGAATGGTGAAGGGAAATTCAAGAGTAACCAGCTCGACTCGTTCCACGTCACTTCTCAGCCACTGGGGACACTGAATAAAGTGGTGATCGGGCATGAGAAGAGGGGATACGGTAGGGAGAGAGGGAGGGAAATAGAGGACAACGCATTCATATAGGTGCCGGGATATTCATCGAACACATTCTCGTGACGGAGAATGTGGTGGATGGACGGCAATTTGTATTCTTTTGCTCGAAATGGCTGGATAGTGGACAGGTGAGAGAGAGAGAGAGAGACAGAGAGAGCGAGAGAGAGTGAAAGAGAGAGAGAGAGAGAGAGAGAGAGAGAGAGAGAAAAACGAAACAGCTCCTCCAGGTCGACGGCAAAATCGAGCGCAGCCTCCCTGTCTCGGCCTTCTACTACATCAGCTCAATCCCAGAAGATGGAGTTTCATCGCGTAAGCTTCTACGAGCCTGGGAATTAATTTAACAAAATAAAAATCATACTTTATCTATTTTAGAAGGCCGCTGGGAGTTCATCCTCCATAATGGCACCCCGGATGGAGAAGGCGGAACGACTTCAAATCTGAATATTGTCGGCTACGGCACGCAGGGCAGCTCGATGACCACCATCTCCACCGACAAAAGCCTCAATGAAGTGCCGTCTACTTCACTAATTCAAGTGGGGCTTATAACCTGAAAATTTGCCGTTTCAAGCGCGTTTACATTCCATTTTCGATAGAAATATGACTAAAATTCGCATCAAACTTTTAAAAAATTAGTTAAAAAGTCAGAAATCTGTTTATGGCTTTAAAAACAATGTAAAATACTACGGTTTCAACTTTATACATTCAAAGAAGATTTTATAACCAAAAAAACTGAATTTTACTTCCTTTTTCGTCTCAATTTCGATAGAAAACGTCGAAAATTTCGTTTAACTCTTTAAAAACTGAGTTTCAGAAGTTAGAAAAGTTTTTCAAATTTTAAACCCAAAAAAACTCCTACGTTTTCAACTCTAACGATTTTATAACCAAAAAATAAAAATTTTGCGTCCGGTTTCGTTGATTTTCGCTAAAATTACGAATAAAATGTCGTTCAAAACTTTAAAAACCTTGATAGGCAACGTGTTCCAAGCCTTAAAACACTGCAAACATTTTAAAACCAAGCTTTTCAGGTGGATTTCGGCGAAATCGGCGATCTGCTGAAGGTTCGTTTCGAAATCGACGGCTCCGGCGAGCATCCGGACTATTTTCTGGAGTATGTCGAGTTGAGAGATCTCGATACGGAGGAGAGGCTGGCTGTTAGGTATCCAAAAAATTGTTAATAATTTTAGTACTTGTCTTTTAGGGTCGGAAAATGGTTGGACGTGACCGGGGCGCATAAAAAGCCGCAGCCCTACCGGGAAATATCCGTTTTTCGGGCCGGCCAGACGCCGTTGGCTAGTAGGTTTTCTAAAATAGGTTAATGATATAAAAATAGCTATTTGCGGCATTAAAAATACATAAAACAGGTTTTTAAACCGTTTATTTAGTCAACAACTACGAGGGAAAAGTCGTCGCGGGTGACGTGAGAATGCTCAAGACCGAAAAGTTGCGCGGGCAGCTCATTGGAGAATACAGCGACAGCGGCATCTTTCCCTTAATAAAAGGCGATAAAAATGTATGTTTTAAACCTTTTTAAACTTTAAAGTAACCTCTAAATTCTAGGAATACTCCTTCAAAGCCGAATGCGTATACCTTGGCCGTATCCACGGGATCCGGATAATTGGTGAATTTACGGAGAAAGGTAAGGCGTTAAAAACGTATTTTCAAGGCTATATACCTTAAAAATTTATTTTACTATGAAACCTTAAAATACGGTTTTGTAAATCTATGAAAATTCTAGGAGAAGCCGCCCTCGAGGGATTCGCGACGCTACAGGAAATCTGGGATCGCCGCGGCGTACCCGGGCTGGATATGGCCGCTGAGGTATCGAAAAACCGGATTAACTAGTTATTTCATGTTTAGTTCGTGGCCACGTCAGCCTACGTGCGTGAGTCGACGCATTGCCCGTATCGCTACGTGCTGTCGATGGGACGAGTGCAGGATTTGCCGGAAGAAGATGGGCTCTATCATAAACAGTTGACGCTCACCGGTAAGGTCTCCTAAAAAGGAGTAAAAAAAAGCTAATTCGGCAGAGTAAAATTAAATAAAGAGTTGGTCTTCTTAAAAATAAATTAAAAAAGCTATATAAAGTTGTAAAAAATATTAAAAGCTATAAAAGAGCTTTAAAAACAGTAATTTGTTTAGAAATGGAAGGCCTCCCCACGCGCTACAAAAAGGACAAGCGCGAAAGCGAGCAGGACAGCTGGACGTTGAGCATGAGCGTAAAGGTATCGGGAACAATCTCTCAAAATAAGGTAATTTTAGGACGATTCGGATATGATCCCATACGCCGAATTATGCGCCGGTCCGTCCACTATCCAAATGAACGCACAAACGGAAGAATTTGAAGCACAAGAGATGAGCTATCAAATGAGGGGAAAAGCCGTTGGGACGGTGGATAAAGTGAGGCTGGGAGTGAGGGGCGAGATGAGAGGACGAAGATTACATGTCAGGAGGGTAAGCCATTGAAATATACCTCGAAACTAGAGCCTAGATGCGTCTATCGAACGCTATGACTGGGGAGGAGATGCGTTTCCCATCGGTCGACACCGAATTCCACGACAATGCCGTTTACGAGTATCCCACAGTTTATCCGGATGTGCCGCCCAAGCAGAGTAAGCTGGAGTTTCGGTTTTAACTAGAATATTGGACAAAACCGTGCATTGAACAAGAACTGGAAGCTGGAAAAACACGAGAAAAATAGCTGGAAAAATACGAGAAAAAAATCAAAATTGCACAAAAAGCCATTCAAAATAGGTTTGAAAAGCTAATTTTCAATCTTTTCGTTTTTTCGGAATTTTTCGACGCTATTCGACCACAGTCGAGGCGAATTTACTGTAAATCCTAAGCATAATATCTCTTCAGATATCGTGTACACGCTACAACTGGAGACTTCTTCAATTAACGGTGTGATCCAGCCATGTGCTATATTGGTGGGAAGAGATGGAGGGAGCGGGACACGAATATTGAGAGCTGAGCGGTTGACACAGAGCGAGATGGTGAGCAAACTAAAAAATTGTTTCAAAATTAGGTAGCTATCTCAAAATCTTAATCCCGGAGAACAATCCAAGCCGCGATCCTCTTCAACCTTAAATGTCTTAGATTTTGTGATTTTTTGCGTCAAATTGTGCTATATTCTTACTCTACAAAAAATGGCGAACATTTTCGTATACTTTACAACATTGTAGAACCAAGGGGAATCGAGATACCTAGAAGTACCTAGAATCTCGATACAAAAAGAGACTTACCGCCGTCATTTTTAGACAGAAGACTACGAAATCGAGGCCGTTGACCTGGGACAACTCGAATCGATCGAATTGTCGTATGAAGCCGAGACGGTCAGTTTCTAAGACCCTAAAATCCTTTTTGACGGGAAATTCGGATTTTTTGCCTATATCAAAACGAAAAATGATTCAGGACGTCGAGTGGCAACTGATGGCGCGTGTCTCGTCGACTAAAGATGACATCGAGTATCAGACGGGAAAAATGTAAGTTATAGAGACACAAAAATAGGCCTCTTAAAACTAAGGAATCTATTTTTAAATTTAACTAATAAAAACAAAAGCTAATTCCACCCAATTTTTCAGAACGATTCGAAAACCGGGGCAACCGGTGACGAGTGCACTCGGGGAGATCGTGTAGCCATTGTTCTTCGATAGCGATTCGATAGCTCGTGCTCAACGCCTCATTCTCCTTACTAATTGCAATAATTAATCGTTACAATGTATTCGATAGTCGTGTCAGGGTCATCCCAGAGTATATCAAATCTATTTTCTGGTTGTAAATCCTTTTCATAGTAAATTTACAGTGTTCAAAGAGTATATTTATTCTATCTTCGCGTCTTGTAAATGTTATTAGATTGCGTAATCAACTATAAGAATTCAGTAGTGGTGTCTGTCCGTCCGTCCGTCAGAAGCCAACTATAACTCGAAGGGGAAAGGAGGTAGAGCTTAGGTCTCTTCGGATTTGGATAGAGCGTAGTCAGAAACCCCTTAAATGATCAAAAAATTATGAAAAAGTTTTTGTTTAAATAAAAATAATTAACTTTGAAAGTGGCGCCTTAATAAAACGAGTGGGGGCCCGTCTCCCCGGGAGGCCACGCCCCCTTTTCCCGCCCCCGTCCCCAAGCCCTTTCCCGCGCCCAGATCGCTTTTTTCAGTTCTTTTAATACTTTTTAATTATTTTAATTCATTATTTAAATCCTTTAAAGTATCTAAGGCCATCACAAAGGGAGGGAGAGGGAGCGGAGGGGGGAGCCCGAAGTCCAGTCGCTTGCAGCGGCAAAGCCGCTGTAAGCGGCTGGTAACCAAAAGAAAATATTTATTCATTTTTGCGTCTTGTAAAGCGTTTCTAGTCAATTTATTCGTGTTCGAAAAAATATATTTATTCTTTCTGGCAAAGGCACACACATGCATGCAGTCAAAATCCAATACAAAATATCGAATGGTCAGTGAGTGAGCGAGAGAGCGCGAGAGAGAGCGACAAAACTGAGCATGCAGAAGAAAAAGAGGATATTCTAAAAGGTGTTTGTACACACAAAAAGAGAGAACAGGGAGGGCAAGAAATACACACGAAAACGAGGAAAAAAAGCAGCCCACAAATACATATCACACGCGCACGCACCGGGCATCATCGGAAAGCAGTAGACGACAAGGGAGACGAGGGAGCGGACATGGACAACGTGCATATGTACAGGGAGAACGAGAGAGGGAGATGGAGCATGAGAGAGTACGAGTGGTCAATAGAATAACATGGCCTAAAAGACGAGTAATTGAGCAGGGGTTTTCCGAACTGAAGGCGAGTAGATGGAGCTGGAGGTGAGGCTCATACGCGGGTCTTCTGAGCAACAGTGGCCAACTGAAAACGACTCGATTAATAAATTGCGCCATGCAATTGGCGGTACCTTTGTAATCGTCTCGGGGATGTTGATCGTCTGGTCGTTGATGATCACAATATCGTAGCCGTGCAGGAACTTCTCGAGCAGATGGTCCGACTGGAAAGGAGAACCATTTCAAAAGCCAGTAGACGACCAAACGTACCGGGAAATTGAGATATCCAACGCGGAGGGTGTGGCCCTGATGATCGATGCCGACATCCATATGGACATCACCCAGACTGTCGCCCATCAGCAACACGTTCGGGCGGGCCTCGACGGCACGGTGGAATGGGGCCGCCTGCAAAGGGACGCTTAGAACAAGATTCCCCTCCTGCCACTGACCTTGTCGATGACGGAGGAATTCTTGCAGAATGTGTGGATGAGGGGCTCGGAGAAGGCGCACACTTTCCCCTTTGCATCGTAGCTCATCAGGTTGCCGAGGATGTGCACGTTCGGAGGGACCTGAAGGAGGGGAATTCAGGGGGAAAGCCAAGGAGGTACCTGTCCGAATTGTTGTTGCAGCTTTATCTCGATCACATCACCGACACCGGCCGAGAAGATCACCACCGGCACTTTCGACGACTGCAAGCCGCGCAACCACGATTCGGCACCAGATCTGAAAACAGGTTCAACGTGACCGGTATTCTTGGGTTCTTTGTCGCTAGCGGGGGAGGAAAGCAAAATTCTTAGATTTGGTCTACATCCTTTTCGTAGTTTCCGGTTAGAAAGCGACTAAATTCGCATTTTTTGGCGCTAAAAACACTCATCAGATTTTTTTTGAAAAATACCAACATTTATTAAGAACTTTTTATCGCTTAAACCTGGGTACTGGAACGTTAGCAGGGGGGGGCTGTATTTTAGCAGGTGGAAATATAAAAGAAATAGAAAAATAGAAAATTGACACATGGAATTTTTGTCATTTTTCAAGCAATTGGCAAGAAAAATTCAGATTTTTCGAAAATAGTAAAATTTTCTGAACTTTTTTGATCCAAAAAAAATCCGCCTAATTTAGCCACTTCCGGAGCGTCTATCCCATAATCCAGCAGAAGCCATACCTGAGCAATACCCGCGACTTGCGCACGAAGCCCTCAATGTCGTGGCGGGTGAAGCCGGCCGAGACGATGTAGCCGTGCGACGTGTTCCACCTGTAATTGGGGGCTGTCTATGGCTTCATCCCCTCTCCGCCGTACCAATCCTCCATATGCGGCGTCTTCTCCTCGATGGTCATGTGCGGGTCGAACTCGATCGGGTAGTAGATGTTCTTCAGGTCGGTGAACTGCAGAAAGAAGCAAAAATGAGAATAAATATAGAGTTGCCAAATACCTTTCGGCTGAGACCGGGCTGTATCTCATCGGCGAACGCGTCGAAGACGCCGTGCGTGGTGGAGCAGCGCTCGCCTTCCTCGTCGATGGCCCGCGAGAGTGTGTAGTCGAAATCGGTGATCACCTAAATCATAAATTAAATTTTTTTAGCAAGGACCAACCATCATCTTGTCGATGCCGTCGGCGACAATGTCGCGCAACTTCCGCTCGACGAGGGCTCGATCCCGGCATTTGACATAGGGCAACGAGAGAAGGGTGTCCAGTGGGGAGAGGATCGTCATTTCTTTCTAAAAATAATTCTAGGACAATAATGGCAAATTTGCTTACTTTCAATGTAGTTATAAGCAGTTCGGCTTCACGTGGTTCAATTGGTAGATGCTCGGAGACTGAAACGGTGGCCATTTCCGGGTGCTGAAGGCTGCTGATTCGGGGCCTATTCGTTTTTCGGGGTATTAAAAAGGTGCAAAAAGGTTGAAAACGAGCAAAAGTGGCAAGAAAATCGGAAAAGAAAA